GATCTTTTCCCTCCTTGTGAATAAGTACTACATGGGCCTGTAGGGATTCTCTCCTCACTTCCATCCCACCTCCCAGAGCATTCATATATTTCTCCAACTTGGGTAACAGTACTTCACTAAATTTCTTATAGTACTTAACTGTATAGCCATCCGGGCCTGGGCTTCCCCCCCCCCCCCCCCCCCCCCCTGTGCTTCTTAATGCTGTTTTAATTTCTTCCTGGGAAGTTTCTGCGTCTAAGGAGTTCAACTGTGCTTCACTTAGTTTGGTAATCCCGCATTTTTTAAGTATATCATCTTTTTTTCATTACTTCCCTCTTGAGCTTCTTTTAGCGGACCTTGGGGACTAATATTATATAACTTTTTGTAATACTCCGTAAACACTTTAATAATCTCTTTAGTTGAGTGGACCAACTCCCCCTTTGAACTTTTTATCTTTTCTATATAGTTCCTATTTTTCTTTTTGTTCAAGGCTCTCATTAGATATCTTCCTGGTCTGTCTCCCAATCTACTGTATATCTCTCGTTCAAAACCCTGTTGTATACTCTTCTCTTCTCCTCATCCATCAATCTCTCTAGATCATCTTTTTTGTCCAATAACTTCTGTCTCGTGTCTTTTGTTATTTTCTTCTTATGGATCTGCTCCAAGTCCAATATTTCTTTTAAAAGCCCACTGACCCTCTCTCTTCTTTCCTTTTTTTCTTCCTTGCTCCTGCCGCAATCAAGATTCCTCTTATGAATACCTTGTGGCTTTCCCAGACTGTAGCTATCGATACTTCCTCTGTTTCGTTCTCCTTAAAGTATACCTTAATCTCTTTCTCGATTTTCTGAGCTAAATCCTCATCCAGAAGAAGAGCCTCATTTAACCTCCACCCTAATCCTCCAGTCCACCTTCTTCCCCATCCCATTTTCATTACGACCGGGGCGTGATCCGAGAACGTCCTTGTCTCTATGTCAATTTTAACCAGATGATCTATAAGTTGATGGTCTATTAAGATGTAATCTAATCTCGAGTATATCTCATGTGCATTAGAGAAGAAGGTATAGTCTCTGTCTTTCATATGCATTATTCTCCAGATGTCCACTAGTTGATATTCATGCATCACTTTTTTCAAAGCTCTCAGAGACCTACTCCCCTCTCTTTGCACGGAAGAGGTATTATCCTTTTGTGGGTCCATACAGAAATTTAGGTCTCCTGCTACTATCAAGCGCCCTTTTTTAAATTCCATTAATTTTTTCAACAGACCCTTCATATACATCTCCGGGTTTTTATTAGGGCAGTATATATTGGCTAAAGTACACTTAATCCCCTGAAGTCTACCTTTTAAGAATAAAAACCTCCCCTCCGGGTCGGTTCTTCTATCCTCCAGCTCAAATCTCATATTCTTTGCCAAACCTATTGCAACCCCTTTTGCTCTTTTAATTGGAGAATCTGCATAATACCATGTTGGGTAGTAGTGTTTGGATTTCAATTTCACGTTTGCCTCTATCTCAAAGTGCGTCTCCTGTAAAAATACCACTGACGTAGCCCTATGATGTAACTCATTAAACAACCTAAATCTCTTCCCTGGACAACTCAGCCCGTTCACATTATAGGTTATAAACTGTATTTCTTCCATCTTTCCCAATTAACTCCATCTCTCTTCCAAATTGCCTCTTCCTCTTTATCCCTTCTGTCATGCAGAGTGTTGACCCAATACCTCCTCCCCTCCCTCCCTCCCATCCAACTCCCGTCCCCTCCCCCCTCCCTCCCATTCTCCCAACCCGCCCTCCTCCACTCTCCTGATAAACCCCTCACCTCCTCTCCCTTCCCTCCCCACGTCCCCGTCTCTCCCCCCCTCTCCAACCCCACCCCACAGAGTATTAACCCCCCTACCCTTCCCTCCCTCCCTTCCCCACCCTTTTTTAGGCTTAAAATTTGCCTACTAATCATTTGTGGACTAAAACCCACTTTTGATTTAATACCTTGGGGTTGAGCTCTGTCCACATACGACTCCTCTTCACCCACCTACCCTCCTCCCTCTATGCATCTAATTCAATAAATTTTTCTAAAGACCCCTTGTGACAACAACTGTATTCATAAAAAACAACCATAAAGAAAATGACGTAGAGAAGCACAAGAGGACAAAAAGGGGCATGGGAGGAGAGAGAGAGAGAGAGGGGAGAGAAAACAAAATAACTCTCCCTCCCTCCCCCAACTACCACTCCCCTCCCCCCATGTCCCCCATATCTCCCCTCTCCTCATCCCACCCTGGGATCTGTATTCTTTGTAATTCAAGTCTATCACAAAAAACCCTTCAGTCCTCAGGAGATCTCAACATGGCCGTGAGTCCATTTTTCCATCCAATAAAGCTCGCCTGAGCTCCCCATCTGTATCGCACATTCTGTTTTTTCATCTGTTCTGTCAGGGGTTTTAGGTTCTCTTTTTCCATAATGTCTCTGGTGCTAAATCTGCAAAAATCTGGACATTTATTTCTTCATATTTAATACTTGTTCTTCCCTTTATTTTTTTCCATATCTCTTATCGCTCAGCCTATAAAATTGGACGATTAAATCTCTCGGTCTTTTTCCGCCATTGATTTGCTGAGTTTTTCCTGCTCTAAATATCCTGTCCAGTTTATACGTTTCTGACATAGGTCTGTCCATTATGGAATTTAGGATTTTACTCACTGACCCTTTCAAATCCTCCCTCTGGGAACTCTCTGGGATTCCTCGTAACCTGAGATTTTTCCTTCTATCCCTATTTTCTAGAGTCTCCATTTTATAAAGCAGTTTTTTTTGGTCTTTTTTAATTTCCAATGTCCGTTTCTTAAGATCTAAAATATCCTGAGCGTGATTTTTAAGTTTGCCCTCTGTTTCCTCCACTCTGCATAATAATTGCCCAAGATCATTCCTTATTGCTGTTATTTCATGCTTTATTGAGTTTTCCAGACTTTTAAACATTTCTCCCATTTCTTTCTTATTCGGCACTTGTAATTCTCTTTCCATTTTTCTCTCTTCCATGTTTCCTGACATATATTGACTACTACTGTTGATTCCTAGGGATAGTCTAGGACTTTTTTCCAGGTTAGCCTCCCATTCACTCTTTTCACTTGTTCCCAGGGGTCTTTCTGGGGTCGTGTTTCCCTGAAACGTATACTTTTTAATTGAGCCAGACTGTGCTCCCTTAGCCCCACTTCCTTTTACACTTTTATTCTTCATATCTTCTGGCCCTTTTCAGGATTCCATTGAAGTACTTCGCTATTCAAACTGGGGGACCAGATTTAAAATGTCCTCTTGAATTTTAATTTACATTTCTAGGTTCCCTTAGTTTTAAATTAATCTTCCGCTTTGTTGTTTTAATCTTCCTAGAAGCCCCCCTTGGAACCCCCTTTCTCCACTACACTCGATGCTCCTTAATATTCAGCCCAGCATTATACTGTTTTTCAGAGTCGCTCTCACTCACCCTCCTCTCTCTGTATTTTTCCTGTCAGACTCTCCAGCTGCTGTCATCCATCTCTCCAGATTTTTTTTTTTTCTTCTTTCTTTGGAAGGGTTCCTCTGTATAACTCAGTCCTTTAGGGCTTCAGGCAGGGCACCAATTTTGTCCTTTGCTCGGGTCATCCAAGACACAGACCACAGAGCAGGGAGAGGTCGGAGAGCAGACCGCATCTCTGCCTGTCATCCAGACGCCGGCCGGCTTCTCCTGCTCCCAATACTCCCTTGCGGTTACCACGTGGTCCCACCTTGTCTCCCCGGCAACCCGTATCTGCCTCTAGAGTCTCCTCCACACAGACCGAGGAGAGACGGCAGCCGGATCCCATTCACACTCCACAGGGGCAGCACCTCTCCAACTAGTCCCCGCTCATCTCCCCCGCATGGGAATCCCGGGGGAAACAGGTATTCAGCCACAGCATAGAGGGTATGGGAGGTCAGGATCCGAGGTCTCGGAGAGCAGCTACATCGAGCTCTCCGACGCCGCCATGCACAGGCCCCTCCCCCCCCATACCAAAAAGTGGCCCTTAGGGATGTTAAACAGACAATTCTTGTTATAACTATCAATGGATATCTATCTCCATTGTGATCCATGGCTTTAAAGAAATGTTTTGTAATAAACCTCCCCCTTTCTATTGTGATGTACAAATCTAGAAATGTAATATTCTGTCCACTAGCGAAGTTATCACTATATTTCTATCATTTTTACTCAGTTTTACCTTAAGCCCCCCATCACATCAAAGCTGAGTTTGAAATTTTGCGACTTACAGTGAAGTCGCACGATTTCAAAATCGGGTGACCTGCCGATTTGTAAGACATCTGTGTCAGATGTCTTGCAAATCACAACTGAAAAGTAGTGCATGTACTACTTTAGAAATCGGTGAGGCTCCGAGCAAGTCGGAACCGCACCGATATGACCGCTCTAATAGCGAACAACAGAGTGGGACTTGGTATACGATATGCAAATCGCATGCCAAGTTGCACCTGATGTGACCGGGGGCTAACGGCTTTCAGACTGGACTTACCTCTTGAGTTGCTGAATTGCATGTTTATGGGTGCCCAACTCCAGGTACAGCTGTTTGTACCATTTTGTATACTTTAATTCTAACATTGCATGTGTCATTTTTATTTCTTTATGAGATCCTTCTATGCTCCGCTGCCTGGTGCTATGCAGTGGAAGCCAAACTAAACTATAGACTCCCCACTGCTTCAGAACAGTGTTGTGCCTTTGCTCCCTCCGTCCCTTTTCCAAAGAACAATACAAAAACCACCACTGTGCTGTGCTTTGTGATAGCAAAGCACTGGGACTGGTGTCATGCATAGACACCATTCCGATGCAGCAGAATTCCTGCTATATAGCAGCAGCTTAGAAAGTTCTTAAAAGAAAAAAAATCTACACTTGTAATGTGACAACTCAAGGTTAAAAACACAGTAAAAATAGCTGTACACAGTAGTGGGCTATAACTGCTCATGCAGACACCGAGGATCTTGAGCTTGTCACTTATGCTACCGTATTGTTTTTCATTTCAGGTTAATGCAGCAGTCTGTGGAGTCTGTTTGGAATATGGCATTTGACTTTATTCTGGACAATGTCCAGGTGGTTTTACAGCAGACATATGGAAGCACATTGAAAGTTGTTTGATCCTCATCCTTGGCAGAGGAGCCTGGCATCCCTTGCCTACCTGTACCATAAGTGCTTGTGAAGTATTTGCAAAACGCATGATTTTAAAGCTTCAATCATTTTACATTTCTTTTAATAAATAATTTTTGTACATTTTATTTCTCAAGTGCCAAATTTGTCAGCATTGCATGTAAATATTTGTGTTCCAGATTCTTTTATTGTAGTATAGACCATTTGAAAAATGTTTGTTTATAAGAGTTTTATGGATTTTTACAGTGAAGTGTTCACAGTTGTTTAATAAAGAAATAACTGCTTTACATTGCGGTTGGTTTTCAGTTATTCTAAATGCATTATTTTTGTTTTAATAATCTTTTGTAGAAAATTAGTAGCTGATATAAGGCTTGAGCAGATACACTTTTAAAATGAGGAAATCTGTTTTTCCCAGAACATAAAAAAATATATACAAAATCACAATACATTTGTTAACAAACTGATAGGTGACTAAAATCTGTCTGGAACCTGTGGGTTTTTTTTTTATCAGATTGGATTTTTATCAAATTAAAGGATTTGGCTTTCATTACCTGCATAAAAATGAGAGAATCAACCACTAGCCACAAAAATGTTTTTGCACTATTTATCCTTTTGAAACATGCCTCTGATAGACCTGCAACCTAATGGTAATTTATAGAAAATAAGTACAAAAAAAGAACACAGTTAACAGTCATTCACTCCTGTCCAATGCAGTTTAAAACATGACAGATTCCTTGATGTCACTGTTCCTTTTCCATCCAACAGGAGAGCTCCACATCATATTACCTATTTAATTTTCGTTTTTATATATACAGTCATGGCCAAAAATATTGGCATCCCTACATTTCTGTCAGATAATGCACCGCTTCGTCCAGAAAATTGTTGCAGCTACAAATGTTTAGGTATTCTCATGTTTATTTCTTTTGTTTGTATAAAAAAAGCCAAGCACTCCATGCTATTGAGAACTCCTGACAACTGATCTGCTAGCCCAGAAATGACTGGGGAATTCCTCCCTTGACAAAAAATCAAAACAAAATGGAGGATTGAGTCCCTGAAACAGAGCAGATACCAGGTTTATGCTGACTTAACCCAGTCCACCATAGTGCAACAGAGGGCCCTCTCGAAAAGGAGAACCCTTCAGATCATCACTAGTGGTGGGATCAGTGTCCCAATACTGTTCGCTCACTTTTGACCACATGGGGTACCAGCTCCTTTGAACAACTAAGAGATTCCTATGATATACTGGACTCTGAATGGTTTCATTATCTCCAACTTCGTCATCTGGTAGAATCTTTGACTAAAAATCACAATTGGACCTCCACTGATGGCCTTTGTATCTAGGTGTTATTCAAACCCGACCATACAGGGCCTCAGCTCTCTGTTATACTCTTCTATGAGGGGGGCAAAATTAATACTCAAATTCTGGCATATTGCACATGGTGGGAGAGGGACCTCTACATCACCCTTGATGCAGAAAGCTGGAACAAAACATAGGTGTCACTGTTTAAGTCCTCCCGTAATGTGCTAGCACTAGAGGACTCCTAAAAAGTCAAGGTTGTACTACACCCCAGTGAGAATAGCGCAATGCCTCCTCATGTCTCCCTCTTGCTTCCCTGGCTGCTCTGATCCGAGAAACATGAAACCTATTTGGTGGACCTGCCCTAGAGTCAAGAGACTGTGGATAGGGATGTATAACATGATTAATACAGTACTGCAAGTATATTTTAACCCCTTGGCGCAGACAGTATGCAAATATGCGGCCCACTTGACTGGGCTTTTTTCCGTGGGGCTGCATATTTGCGTACTTGTCTTTGTGCTGGGAGCGCACTGTCGCACTGGACACCGTGTCTATGCGTAGAACAGAGACCAGGGTCTCCCTAAGAGACCCGGGTCGTGTAGTAATGATTGGGACCTGGAACTCTCGATTCTGGGTCACGTGATCACTGTGATAGCCTCTGATTGGCTATCACAGTGATCAGTCACTGTGAAGCCTGCCCCCATGTTTTTTCTCTCTGAATGGAGGAAAGAGATGCATTGCATTGCATCTCTGTCCTTGCAGAGAGAGAAAGAAAAAAAAAAAAAAGTGTTAAAAATGACAAAAAAAAAATAAGGGTCCGATCTAGGTCAGTTCCAGGGTTAGTGTTTAGGTCAGGGTCAGTATTTTATTTTTACATTTTTAAAATACTATCAGTGTCTGTTAGTGTCAGTGTATTTTAGGTAGGATATAAAAAAAAGCAATATGCACACTATTGTTTCTGGGCCATACCATGGGTACAAACAACTAATGCCCTGTATACACATATACGAATGATCGTCCGATTTTTTTCTACATGCTAGTCTAGTAGAAGAAGTGAAGAGGTTACTAAAGTTACAAAAATTCTTTAACGACGGAAATAAGTTACGGAGAATGTAATGTATTTGTATTGTACAGTTGCAAGAAAAAGTATGTGAACCCCTTGGGATTACGTGGAGTTTTGCATGAATTGGGCATAAAATGTGCTTTGAACGTCATCTAAGTCACAACCATAGAACACAGTCTGCTGAACATAATACTACACAAACATTAGATGTTGCCATGGTTTAATTGCACATAACATGTAAACATTCACAGTGCAGGGAGGAAAAAGTATGTGAGGCCCTAGCTTAATGACTTCTCCCAGAGCTAATTGGAGCCAGGAGTGAGCCAACCTTGACTCCAATCAGTGTGATGATATTGGATGTATTGCTGACAGCTGTCCTGCCCTTAAAAAACACACACCTGTTTTGGGTTTACTGGTTTCAAGAAGCACTGTCTGATGTGAACCATGCCTCGCAGAAAAGAGCTCTCAGAAGACCTACGATCAAGAATTGTTGACTTGCATGAAGCTGGAAAGGGTTACAAAAGTATCTCCAAAAGCCTTGATGTTCATGTGTCCACAGTAAGACAGACTGTCTACAAATGGAGAAAGTTTAGCACTGTTGCTACTCTCCCCTAGGCGTGGTCGTCCTGTAAAAATGACTGCAAGAGCACAGCGCAGAGTGCTGCATGAGGTAAAGAAGAATCCCAGAGTGTCAGCTAAAGACCTACAGAAATCTCTGGCACATGCTAACATTTTTGTTGACACATCTACAATAAGGAAAACATTAAACAAGAATGGAGTACATGGGAGGACACCACGGAGGAAGCCATTGCTGTCCAAAAAAAATATTGCAACACGTTTGAAGTTTGCAAAAGAGTACCTGGATGATGGGAAAATTCCAGAGTTTATCAAGACATTTTGCAGGAAAACGTACGACCATCTGTCTGCCAACTGAAGCGCCGCAGAGGATGGGTGATGCAACAGGACAATGACCCAAAGCATACAAGTAATTCAACAAAACAATGGCTGCAACAGCACAGAATACGCCTTCTGGAGTGGCCCAGTCAGAGTCCTGACCTCAACCCGATTGAAAAGCTGTGGCATGACCTTAAGAGAGCGATTCACACCAGACATCCCAAGAATATTGCTACACTGAAACAGTTTTGTGAAGAGGAGTGGTCCAAAATTACTCCAGATCGTTGTGCAGGTCTGATCTGCAACTACAGGAAACGTTTGGTTGAGGTTATTGCTGCCAAAGGAGGGTCAACCAGTTATTAAGTTCAAAAGGTTCACATACTTTTTCCTCCCTGCACTGTCAATGTTTACATGTTATGTGCAATTAAACCATGGCAACATCTAATGTTTGTGTAGTATTATGTTCAGCAGACTGTGTTCTTCTATTGTTGTGACTTAGATGACGTTCAGAGCACATTTTATGCCCAATTCATGCAAAACTCCACGTAATCCCAAGGGGTTCACATACTTTTTCTTGCAACTGTATTTTTGGAGAACTACTGTACAGGTTAAAAGGAAAATCGAATGTTCCAGTATCGTACGATAAAACTTTTCGTGCTTGTCCCTTCTATTTTTTTTTCCAGACGATTGCTGTTTACGAACGATCAGATTATCGTACAACACTTTAAAGTGTATACGGGGCTTAACATACACATATATGGTATCACTGCAATCGTCAGGTGCAGGAGAATTTATTTTAGGTTGTTCTTCGGTGGGAGGATATGGTAGTAGCAAGAAATATACAAGTACATTTTTTAAAACGTTATTTTTTTTTTTACTATTTTGGGCCAGTTTTCCTTTGATAAAAGAAATCAGGAGATATCCATTATCATTTAAATGAAAGCCCAATTTGTCCTGAAAAAACAAGGTATAATCCGCCTGGATGCACAAAGTAGTTGTGATGATAGGTACAGTTTTACGAACACGTCTAAACTGCAAAATTTTGCTTAGGCATTAAGATTTGTTTTACCATTAGGCACGAAGGGGTTAAGGAAAAACCGCTGGGAAGCACTTCTGCACTAACAAATCCACAACATCACTCGTCAGGAGCACACACTTATCACTCATATTTTTATGGCCATGAAACAGATAAAAGCAAAATCATGGAAATAACTGATACTTCGCTTCGACGAGGAAAGAATCTGGTAAACGGCACACTAGTTAATGAAAAACTCGCAGCGATCCTCAACTACACCCATGATAAATTGCGGCGCACCTAGCAACCTTCGTTAGGTAATTTTGTACCATCCCAACTAATCTTGCGTTTCCTGGAGCTGTGACTGATACACCCATGGTCTTACTGGAGCCAACAAGAGCCCCTGGGGTTTCCCCTCCCCTTTCCATCCCCCACATCCTTTCCCCTCCCCCTCTTTTCTTACATCCCCCACTCCTCTGCTTTATTTTCCTTTTCTTTTTCTGGTTTCTCCCTTTAAACGCCCTGTCTAGCCATACCCAAAACAGTCAGGGATCCCTCCTTTTTTGGAAAGGTATCTGCAGGAGTGATACACTCGAGCCCACATTTTATAAGGGAAGGGATTCAGACCTAATCTGACCCAGATGGGAGCCATTACAGGGGAAACTGCAAGGGATGTCCTGGGATGTACCACCGATAAAATCCTCTTCCTGGGGTGCATTGAGGGATAGAGCTCCCTCCCCTATATCTTTGATCATGCTCTCAGTATCTACAGTTCATCTGTCAGCGTCCAATCCTTCTATTGATGGCAGTATACCTTGAAGGTGAAAGACTTCCTGTGCCCCTCAATAGAGTAGATAGCGTCTACAAATGGCGGTATATATATTGGAATTTTTTATTTATGTATACTAGTAATGGTGGCGATCAGAGACTTACAGTGGACTTCGGCGGGCATTCTGACACTGAGGGGGAACTGACTAAATGTCACTGACATCCCCACTGACACCAATAGTGATCAGTGCTAATAAAAAGCACTGACACTGTACTAATGGGCAGGAAGGGGTTAACATCTGGGGCGATCAAAGGGTTAACTGTGCTGTTTTATTATTGTGTATGTGTGTGTGTTGTACTGTGTAAGCATATTGCTTTGTATTGCTATGCAGAGCAATACAAAGCAGCATGCAGGAGCTGACAGGGGAGAGAACTGTATTGTTTACATACAGACGTCTCCCCGTCAGTGATAGTTGGGTGACGGCAGGGAATCACTGGCCTGGACCCGATGATCGACAGCTGAAGCCGCCAATGGAGGTGTGGGTAGAGCCTGCGCCCTATACCTGGAAAAGCAAAATTAGGTATATATACGTGATTTTGCGCAGCCCTGCAGCAGTATTTCTGCTATAGGGCGGTGGGTAAGCGGTCTCAATACCTGTTCATTTGAATACCTGCAGCATTAAAGACATAATGCTCCAAAACCACTAGTTGAAGACTACTGATATAGACTTTAAACCTTAAGAAATGACATTAGGAAAAAATGTATTTGTGTCCTAAATGTGGATCTCAGAAAATATATAAACCTCTATAACAAATTAATATTATAGTATATGTAACTTGTATTGCCACATACAAACATCTACCCACTTGCAATTCCAAACACATTCTAGTATACAGCATAATGTGGCCACTCCACAGGGTACCAGGATGCAGTTCACAGTATTGTCTTAACAGTTAAATGCAGCTATGATATACCCTGTTTTTATGTCATATTCAAAGCACATTGTATTGCTTGTAGAAAATCAATGGGCCATATTTACTCATTGAGCTTAAATGCACATAAAATAGATTTATTTTAACATGACCAAAAGTAAGCCCCAATGAATGCTGCACAGAATTAAAATTACATCAAATTATATCAAGACAAATAACATTGTCCATTTACTTTATTTCTGGCTCTGTGTGATAATTACATTGGAACTTCGTGGTGTCAACCGAAATGCTGCCCAAAGCACAATTTACACCATTCTTTTACATAAAGCAGATAGAGAAATTTCATTATCCATATTTAAAAAAAAAAAAATCTGTAGGCACAAAGGAACAATGAACACATACAGTGCCAGGGCAAACAAACTGCATAAATAATGCTTTAAATTCATTGTTTTTTACATTAAAGTGATCCAAAATTCTGTGCAGCAAAGTCAAATGCTGCAGTGTGAATCTTGCAAGTAAAAAAAAAACTGAGCCAATTGTTTAAAACAGAAGCCAGTTATCTGAGTGTTGTGGAAAGATAGTGGGCAGGCACATTGGAACTGTGGGGGTGTGTAAAACTGAGCACTGTCAAACCAGTGTAAATTCTTGGTTTCCCATGGAAAACAATTTAAAACTACTTTTTTTTTCTTCCAAACCACAGGTTCAATCCTTGGTTTCTCCCCTCTTCGATCTTCACTTCTTTACAAAATTATAACGTCAGCTGAAGCAAGTTCCAGTATTTAAAAGCATTAAATGATTTCAAACACTTTTTTCAATTCGACTATGAGCTGCCAGTCTGATTTCTGCATTTCATCTCTAAACCAGTTTTTCAAAGCATCAATTGATTGCCGGGTGATCTAAACCAAAAGACAAACAATTAAAAAAAATAAGAACAAAAAAAGATGGACTTTGCTCAACAGGAATTACTAATGAACTAATTTACTAAAAAGTAAACATACTGAAAGAACATGAACATGTAGACTGCCATTACTAAATGATAGCTGCTTGGGTGTCATACTGATCCACTGTTTTCAGTACTTTCTAAATAATTGAGTAAACAAGTTGAGAGCTTTGGCTTCACTCTGACGTTACCTGATCCATTCTTGTTCCAGGTCAGTTATACATACAGTAGTTCGGAAGCTGGGGACAAGGCAGGCAATGAACACCAGCCATTGTACTTCTCTCAGTACAGGTAAAACCTAAATAAGATAACTACAGACCAGGGGCGGACTGACCATTCGAGCACTTGGACACTGCCCGAGGGCCCAGGGTCAGTAGGGGGCCTTATGAGATGCCCCTGGTACCTTTTTTATAGGCTTTTTTGAGTGTGGGCAAGGAAACAGGGGCCCCATGATCCCCTATTGCCCGGGGGCCCCATAAGTTGTCAGTCCGCCCCTGCTACAGACTCTTTTGTTTAACCAATTCAATACCGGGCAATTTACACCTTCCTGCTCAGGCCAGTTTTCAGGTTTTCAGCGCTCTCACACTTTGAATGACAATTGCGCGGTCATATAACATTGTACCCAAACTAAAATTTTATCATTTTCTTCACACAACTAGAGCTTTCTTTTGGTGGTATTTAATCATCGCCAGGGTTTTTATTTTTTTGCTAAATTAACAAAAAAAAAAAACACGTTATTCTTTGTTTCTGTTATAAAAGTTTGCAAATAAATATTTGTTCTTCATAAATTTAGGCCGAGATGTATTCTGCTACATGTCTTTGGTGAAAATAACCCAAATTAGGATGTGTTATTTAGTTTGTAGGAAAGTTATAGAGTTCGCAAACTATGGGATAGATCTGAAAATTGATCAATCCTGAAGTACTGACAGCCAATCTAATATCTTGAGGTCCAAAAATGTCAGAATAGTACAGATATCCCCCAAATGACCCCTTTTTGCAGAGTAGACAGTCCGACGTATCTCATAAGAGGCATGGCGAGTTTTTTGAAGTTGTATTTTTTTTGTCATAATTTTTCGGAAAATGAAAAAATTAAAAAAATTATTTTCACATACTGTCACCAGTGCAGTACAGCGTCATCATATAACTGGCATGGCGGTGATCAGGGACACTGACTGGTGACAGTGTGAAAAAAAAATATATATATATATATATATATATATTTTTTATTTTTATTTTTTTTTATTAAATTTTTTTTTTTTTTTTTTAAGATTTTTTTTTTCATATTTCACTATGTCCAAAGTAGTACAATGTTACCATAGTAACTACTTTACTACCATAGTAACATTGTACTACTTTGGGGAAGTGACCCTTTTTTTTTTTCTTTTTTTCTTTTTTTTTTTACACAATTTACTTATAGCAAAGAATTACTTTGCTATAAACAAGCATTTACCTGAATGACATCGATTCATTCAGGGTTTTTTTTTTTTTTTTTTTTTTTTTTTTGTGCTTAGCTGTGATTTGGCCACAGCTAATCACATGACATGTGCATGTGATTAGCTGTGACCATTCACAGCTAGACACTAGCATGAATGAAGCCATCCATTGTATACAACTGTCATGTGACCTGCTGTGATTCGTCACAGCAGGTCACATGGTACCGGAAACGGGGGCCGGTACTCAGATCTGTCATTGGCTGTGTCCGAGGTACACGGCCGGTGACAGATCGCGCCGCTGCGCGGCTCTGCAAGCACGCGAACTGCACATGTGCGGGAGGACGCCATATGGCGGCCTCCCAGAAAGATAATACATTTTTGCGGACGCCATTTGGCCAGAGGCCGGGCGTCAAATGGTTAAGGTGGCATATTACTCACCTTGCTTACAAGATAGTCTGTTGCCTCAAAGTGTCGGCCAAACATTTTCGGAGACTCTCCAGGAATAGGCTCTATTTTGATACACACTTCTTGGCCCTTTCTTGCCACATCTACAGGTTTGTGGTTGATTTCAATACTGGTTATAATGCCAATGTCTACAAACTGAAAGTGCAAGATTCGTCACATACTTTTCCAATGTCCATTAAATTTTTTATTATATAAATGCAGTGCTCTTGGTGTACAATCTCTTATTCTTACATGTAGTAAGGGCTATTCAACAATAAATCACTTTTCTTTGGTCGTTAGGAGGGCTTTCCAAGCTTTAATAAATGAGAGCCCCTGAGTGTGATTGATTAGCAATATTATATGAATTAACTAATAGAAGTGCAATAGTCCTTAAATGGAGTAAGTGTTCATGCAGACAGGGTATGAGGATGTACAATGCATAAATCTTTACAGTGCATTCTCCTTCAGTGACTTAACCACTTGCCCTCCTGTGGATTTACCCTCTTTCCTGACCAGCCCATGTTTTGCATTACGGCGCTGCATTACTTTGACAATTGTGTGGTCATGCACCACTGCACCCCAATTAAATTTATGTCCTTGTTTTCCCATGAATTGAGCTTTCTTTCGGTGGTATTGGATCACCTGTGCGTTTTTTATTTTTGCGCTATAGACCGATAACTTTGAGAGAAAAAAAATATATATTTTTGACTTTTTGCTATTTAACATGTCCAGTAAACATATGTAAAAAAAATCAAATTTCGGCATAAATTTAGGCCAAAATGTATTTTGCTACATGTCTTTGCTAAAAAAAAAAAAAAAAAAAATCTCAATACGTGTAAATTAATTGGTTTATGTGAAAGTTATAGCATTTACAAATGGCGGTATAGATAATTTTTTTTTCAACTAGTAATGGCGGCGATCAGCGACTTCTAGCGGGACTGCAGTGGACATTCTGACACTGGGGGGAACTGACTTGGTGTCACTGACATCCCCAGTGACACCAATACAGTGATCAGTGCTAACAATAAAAAAAAAAAAAGCGCTGACACCATACTAATGGCACTGCACAGGAAGAGGTTAACATGAGGGGCAATCAAAGGGTTAACTGTGTGCTGGGAGTGTTTTACTAGGGGGCGGGGGTGTGTGCTTCACTGTAAGCACACTGCTCTGGATGGCTGTGCTGTGCACAGCCATCCACAGCAGCGTGCCAGAGCCGACAGGGAGGAGGACTGTTAGTAAACAAAACAGTCTTCCTCCCCGTCGGTGATCATCGGAAATGACCGGGCGCCGGCATATAGCGGTGCGGGTAGGGAGGGCTATAGGGCAGTCGGGAAGTGGTTAAGGATTACTCTGTTGAACACAAAGATACTATTATGGGCAGCACAGTGGCTAAATGCTTAGCACTTCCACCTGGCACTACCAGGGTCGTTGGTTCAAATCCCAACCACGGCACCACCTTCCAGGAGTTTGCATGTTCTCCCTGTGCCTGCGTGGGTTTCTTCCGGGTACTCCAGTTTCCTCCCACACTCCAAAGACATGCTGGTTGGTTAATTGGATCCTGTCTAAATTGGCCCTAGTATGTGTATGTATTAATGTGAGTTAGGGACCATAGATTGTACTCCTCTTGAGGGTTAGGGACTGATGTCAATGTACAATATATATGTAAAGCGTTGTGTAAATTGACAGCGTTATATACATTTAGGTCCATATATATTTGGACACAGGCACAAATTTTAGTTTTTTTCAGGTATTTACCAAAACATATTCAAGCTATAGTTATATATAGTGTATATGGGCTGAATGTGCACACACTCAGGTTTAATTTGAGGGTATGTGCATCCAAATTGGAGGAAGGGTTTAGGAATTACAGCTCTTAAGAGTAGCCACCCCCCTTTTTTAATGGATCAAAAGTAATTGGACAATTGAATCAAAAGCGGTTTCATAGCCAGGTGTTGGCTACTCCTTCGTTATTTCTTCATCAATTAAGCAGGTAAAAGGTCTGGAGTTGATTCTAAGTGCAGGATTTGCATTTGGAATCTATTGCTGTGAACCTACATCATGCGTTCATAGGAGCTGTCCATGCAAGTGAAACAGGCCATTGTCAGGCTTCAAAAACTAAACAAATCCATCAGAGTGATAGCAGCAACATTAGGAGTGGCCAAATCAACAGTTTGGTACATTCTGAGGAAAGAAGAATGCACTGTTGAGCTCAGCAACATAAAAAGGCATGGACGTCCATGGAGGACAACAGTGGTGGATGATCACAGGATCCTCTCTATGGTAAAGAAAAACCCATTCACAACATCCAGACAAGTGGAGGACACTCTCCAGGAGGTGGGCGTATCATTGTCAAAGTCTATAATCAAGAGAAGACTAAATGAGAGCAAATACAGAGGGTTCAGCACAAGGTGCAAACCATTCATAAGCCTGAAGAATAGAAAAGCCAGATTAGACTTTGCCAAAAAACATCTAAAAAGCCAGACCAGTTCTGGAAAAGCATTCTTTGGACGGATGAAACTAAGATTAATCTGTATCAGAATGACTGAAAGAAAAAAGTGTGGAGAAGGCTTGGAACAGATCATGATTCAAAGCACACAACGTCATCTGTAAAACATGGTGGAGGCAGTGTGATGGCATGGGCATGCATGGCTTCCAGTGGCATTGGCGACTGGATGAATTCTGCAGTATTTGGAGATATACTGTCAGCCCAGATTCAGCCAAATGCAGCAAAGTTGATTGGATGGCGCTTCACAGTACAGATGGACAATGATCCAAAACACACTGCAAAAGCAACCCAAGAGCTTTTGAAGGAAAAGAAGTGGATTATTCTGCAATGGTCGAGTCAATCACCTGATCTCAACCCAATTGAGCATGCATTTCACTTGCTGAAGGCAAAACTAATTGCAGAAAGACCCACAAACAAAGAACAACTAAAGACAGCTGCAGTTAGAGCCCGGCAAAGCATCAGAAAGGAGGAAATCCAGTCTTTGGTAATATCTATGGGTTCTAGACTTCAGGCAGTCATTGTCAGCAAAGGATTCTCAACAAAATATTACAAATTAACATTTTATTTATGATTATATTCAATTCTCCAATTACTTTTGGTCCTTTGAAAAAGGGGGGGTGGCTACTCTTAAGAGCTGTAATTCCTAAACCCTTCCTCCAATTTGGATGTATATGCACTCAAATTAAACCTAAGTGTGCACTTTCAGCCTATATCCATTATATAACTATATCTTGAATAGGTTTTGGTCAATACCTGAAAAAAACTAAAATTGTGCCTGTGTCCAAATATATATGGACCTAACTGTAAGTACCTGAAACAAAAATAATATTCACACTACCAAATTCAGTGCTCTGATGCATTAGATCGAGGTTAGCTACAATAATATGCATTTCACATGTTCACAACACACACTAATTATTCCTGAAGTAACTCATAAGCAAGACAAATGGATGAAATACATCGCCAACACACCTCCAAGCTTGTTTCTAATGCCTGAAAAAGGGTTCCCATGTAGTCCAGAAACATTGCTTTTCCATGTGATCATACAAGAATAAAGTTGGTGTGCTGACGACGTATTACATCCATGCTGTATACCAGCCTTTCTCAACCATTTCAACACAGAGGAACCCTTGAAATAGCTTTCTGGTTTCAGGGAACCCTTGCTAAACAGGACTATAGCTACAACTCATGATATATTAGTGTGATGGTCAGTGGGAAGAATGCTCCTTACACATGTGGTCACTGGGAAGAATTCCTCCCTTATAGATAACTAAAAAGATCAAGTGTCAGTGGGAACTTATAAGAAAGGCAGAAATTGCTCATTGCTCAAGGAACCCCTAGCAACCTCTGGAGGAACCCTGGTTGAGAAAATCGCTGCATACCAAGACAGTCAGGAGTTGTTGCAGCACACATTTAATCATATGGTTGATTCCAGTATGGTGTGCAGGAGGAATATACCATGTCATATTCAAACACAAGCACAGGCTGACATATTCGAATTGCCAATGTTTTATCTATTGTTCTTATGTTCAAACATTTCAATAGAGGTTATATCAATAAGTAACTTATTTACACTACGGCCTATTCAGTTACAGCAGATCCCCAACTGCTGATTTGTTAATGATGCTCCCAATGACAACTACTACTGGCAAAAGTCATTGTCACCAAATAATGTGATCACACACACACACACACACACACACACACACACACACACACACACACACACACACAAAATCAATGCAAAGTAACACAACAGTACTTACATTTTTACTTGGTACACATATTGGTGTACCTTGTTTGACTTGCCCAGCTTCTATAATCACTCCCATGACAATGGGATCTCGGGAATTAAAAATAAATTGAGGAAGAATTCTAATTTTACATGGAAATACAGCTATGTGCCTGAAATGAAAACATAAAAAAGGTATTGGTTTTATATAGCACAGAGAGAAAATTATATACAGTGAAGGAAAGAAGTATTTGATCCCCTGCTGATTTTGAATGTTTTCCCACTCACAAAGAAATCATCTGTCTAAAAATTGAATGGTAGGTGTATTGTAACACTGAGAGAGAGTATAGCAACAAAAAAATAAGGAAAGTCTAACAAATGATGCACTGATTTGCATGTTCATGAGGGAAATAAGTATTTGATCCCCTTCACAAAACATGACTTAGTACTTGGTGGCAAATCCCTTGGTGACAATCACAGAGGTCAGACGTTTCCAGTAGCTGGCCACCAGGTTTGCACACATCTCAGGAGGTTATATTTCCTCACTCCTCTTGGCAGATCCTCTCCAAGTCATTAAGGTTTGGTGGCTGACGTTTGGCAATTCGAACTTTCAGCTCCCTCCACAGATTTTTCAATCGGATTAAGGTCTGGAGACTGGCTAGGCCACAACAGGACCTTAATGTGCTTCTTCTTGAGCCACTCCTTTGCTGCCTTGGCCATGTGTTTTGGGTCATTGTCATGCTGGAACACCCATCCACGACCCATTTTCAATGCCCTGGCTGAGGAAAGAAGGTTCTCACCAAAGATTTGACGGTACATTGCCCCGTCTATCGTTCCTTTGATATGGTACAGCTGTCCTGTCCCCTTAAAACACCCACAAAACGGATTGTTTTCACCACCATGTTTGACCGTTGGGATGGTGTTCTTGGGGTCATAGGCAGCATTCCTACTCCTCCAAACACGGCGAGTTGAGTTGATGCCAAAGAGCTCGATTTTGGTCTCATCTGACCACAACACTTTCAACCAGTCCTCCTCTGCATCATTCAGATGTTCAGTGGCAAACTTCAGATGGGCCTGGACATGTGCTTTCTTGAGCAGAGGGACCTTGCGGGCACTGCAGGATTTCATTCCTTGTTGGCATAGTGTGTTACCAATTGTTTTCTTGGTGACTGTGGTCCCAACAGCCTGGAGATCATTGACAAGATCCTCACGAGTAGTTCTGGGATGATTCCTCACTGTTCTCATGATCATTGACACTCCACAAGGTGAGATCTTGCATGTTGCACCAGACCTAGGGAGACTGACAGCTGATTTGTGTTTCTTTCATTTGCGAATGATTGCACCAACTGTTGTCACCTTCTCACCAAGCTGCTTGGCGATAGTTTTGTAGCCCAGTCCAGCCTTGTGTAGGTCTCCAATCTTGTCCCTGACATCCTTGGACAGCTTTTTCGTCTTTGCCATGGTGAAGAGCTTGGAAATCTGATTGTTTGATTGCTCCTGTGGACAGGTGTCTTTTATACAGTTAACAAATGAGATTAGCAGCACTCACTTTAAGAGACTGCTTCTAATCTCAGCTTGTTACCTGTATGAAAGACACCTGGTAGCCAGAAATCCTGCTGAATGATAGGGGATCAAATACTTATTTCCCTCATGAACATGCAAATCAGTGCATAGTTTGTTAGACATGCATTTCTTTTGAATTTTTTGTTGCTATCGTCACTCAGTGTTACATTACACCTACCATTCAATTGTTAGACTGATCATTTCTTTGTGAGTGGGCAAACATTCAAAATTAGCAGGGGATCAAAAACTTATTTCCTTCACTGTGTGTGTGTATGTGTGTATGTATATATATATATATATATATATATATATATATATATATATATATATATTACACACGCACACATACACACACAATATGCCAAAAGCATTGGGACACCCCTCAAACATTGGATTCAGGTGTTCCAATCACCTCCATGGTCACAGGTGTATAAAATCAAGCACCTAGGCATGCATACTGCTTCTACAAGCATTTGTAAAAGAATAGGTCGCTCTCAGGAGCTCAGTGAATTCAAGCGTGGTACCGTGATAGGTTGCCACCTGTGCAATAAGTCCATCCGTTAAATTTCCTTGCTACTAAATATTCCACAGTCAACTGTTAGTGGTATTATAACAAAGTGGAAGCAACTGGGAACAACAGCAATGAAAAAATGACAGAGCAGGGGCAGCACAGGCTGAAGTGCACAGTGCGCAGAAGTCGCTAACTACCTGCAGAGTCAATAGGTAAAGACCTCCAAATTTCGTGTGGCCTTCAGATTAGCAGAGAACTTCATGGAATGGGTTTTCATGGCTGAGCAGCTGCATCCAAGCCTTACATCACCAAGTAAAATGCAAAGTGTTGGATGCAGTGGTATAAAGCACGCCCCCACTGGACTCTAGAGCAGTGGAGACGTGTTCTCTGGAGTGACGAAATCATGCTTCTCTGTCTGGCAATCAGATGGACGTGTCTGGGTTTGACAGTTTCCAGGAGAACGGTACTTGCCTTACTGCATTGTGCCAAGTGTAAAGTTTGGTGGAGGGGGGATTATGGTGTGGGGTTGTTTTCCAGGGGTTGGACTTGGCCCCTTAGTTCCAGTGAAGGGAACTCTTAAGGCGTCAGCATACCAAGACATTTTGGACAACTTCATGCTCCAAACTTTGTGGGAACAGTTTGGGGATGGACCCTTTCTGTTACAACATGACTGTGCACCAGTGCACAAAGCAAGGTCCATAAAGACATGGATGAACGAGTTTGGGGTGGAGAAACTTGACTGGCCTGCACAAAGTCCTGACCTCAACCCGATAGAACACCTTTGGGATGAATTAGAGTGGAGACTGCAAGCCAGGCCTTCTCGTCCGACATGCCGTCTGCCTGACCTCACAAATGCGCTTCTGGAAGAATGGTCAAACATTCCCATAGACACTCCTAAACCTTGTGGACAGCCTTCCCAGAAGATATGAAGCTGTTATAGCTGCAAAGGTTGGGCCAGCTCAATATTAAACCCTACGGGCTAAGACTGGGATTCATGTGCGTGTAAAGGCAGGCGTCCTAATACTTTTGGCAATATAGTGTGTATTTTATATATATATATTATACATATACACATATATGGCTAATTTGCCAAGCTAAGCAACTTCTATGTTCATCCTGCAACTATTATAAAAACCCCAGGAGGCCAATTTATAAGAGCTGTATCAAAGCATGTTTCGCAGACAGTTTCAAGAATAATTTGTTACTTTTCTGCTGCAGGACAGAAAATGAAAATTACAGGCTGATTGTTTGCTTTGCGGCCTCCATGCTACATGTGTCCCACTGCAATTAATTGCTTAGTACTTGTGTACCTTGTCTACAATACTGCACCTCCTGTACATAAGGGGAAATATCAGGGCATGTTAAAAGAAGAAAACAGTGCAAGCAGGGCTGAGACAGTGTACCGAAGCTTTCACTTGTGTGCAGAAGATGTATGTGACATGCCTACAGTGCATTAGATGTGCCACATACATACACCCTCATACAACATAGAATGCAGGCAATAGTACAACAAATATTAGTCGAGCCCTTATAAAGATATTTCACAAACCGGGTTTTGCTTTAACAACACATCACTCACTTGAACTCTTCCTGTTTCTGTTTCTTGTAATCCTGCCTGTATTTTGTAAAGGCATCAAACAAGTGGTAGATGATTTCAGCACTAAAAACCCGCACACCTAAACTATCTGCCATTTCCTGAGCTTCTCTCTCAATGCGCACATCAAAAGCTAGAATGACAGCATACCTAGAGAAAGAGAAAAAAAAAGAAGAGGTATTAGCATCAAGCAGTAACTGCCAGCCAACTACAGGATGCTCTTTGACACTGACACACACACAAAAGTTTTTGGCAAATATGAAGAAATGCTGTAAAGTAAGAATGTTTTCAAAAATATATAATTTAATTGTTTATTTTTATCAATGTACAATTGCAAAGTGAGCGACCAGGGAAAAAAATCTAAACTAAATCAATATTTAGGGTAACTACCCTTTGGTTCAAATCAGCATTAATTCCTACACTTGCGCACTAAGTACACTTGCACAAAGTCGGGGGTTTTGTAGGGTTAAAGTCGGGTGTATGATTAATCACTTATACCAAGCACGTGCTAATGATCATCAATTTCATATGCAGGCTGAAACACAGTCATTAACAGAAACAGTGGTGTTTACCACCCCTTCATTTTTGAAAGATACTATTCAGGTGATTAACATATTGAATTCCATTGAATGGAAAGAGTTATATTTTGGCCACAGCCGATGTGGTCTCCCTTTATACCATTATTTTGCATGAACATGGGAAGAAGGCTGTAGATTGCTTCCTTAGGAGGGATGTTATGTTGAGAGGATATCAGCGAGAGTTCATTCTCTCCTTAGATTTTGCAATGGGCCATAATTATTTTTGGTTAGAGGCTCATATTTTTTACAAAATAGGGGGGTGGCCATGAGCGCCAAATTTGCACCCAGTATGGCCAATTTATTTATGACCAAGTGGGGGGAGGAAATCATTTATAAAGAACGGAGGCCCGAGTTGTTGCTTTGGAAGAGGTACATAGATAATGTCCTCCTCCTGTGGGAAGGTGATTTTGATCCCCAATTTATTGGCCATTTAAATTCTAACGATAGAGGTATTAGCCTTCAACGTGAGGCCAGTAACAAGATTCGTTTCTTAGATCTTACTATCAGAATTCAAAATGGGGAGAAAGTGACTTCGATGTTTTTTAAGGAAACGGACCGAATTGGTTATATTGACGTTAAGAGCTGCCATCATACTGCATGCCTTAGGTCAGTTCCTAAGAGTCAGTTTTAAAGATTGAAAAGGAATTGCACCCATCGTGATGACTTTCTGCGAGAGGTTAATTTACCAAAAAAAAAAAAAAAAACGGCTTCTGGATAGGAGTTATAAATTCGAGGCCTTGAATGAGGCTTTTCTTCAAGTTGATGCTACATCACGGGAGGATATGTTGAGGCCAAAACAGCTGACTGAGGTTAATTTCGCTTTCAATTATGCGTTTTGTACAACATATTCTACTCAGCACTACGTAGTGAAAAACATTCTCTGCAAGCATTGGAGGGTGCTAAAAAATTATAAAGTGTTGGGTCCACTTCTACCAGACATTCCTTTCGTTGTGTTTAGAGGTGTTCCACCATTAATATTGAGTGTAGCCCCCAATGTACTAGATCTCCCTAAAAACTCTTTTATTCTTTCAGAATATGAAGGGCTACTACCCATGTAGGAAATGTAGAGCTTGTAATATCAATGTTCAGAAGTCTAGGAAGTTAACTACCTTTCAATCAGGTTGTACACATAGAACCTATAATATTGGACACTTCATTGCGTGTTCCACCAAAAATGTGGTCTATTTGATTCAGTGCCCGTGTGGGTTACAATATGTGGGCCATACGTTGCGCATGTTGTGCACCAGGCTGGATGAGCACATCAGGAACATATGTAGGGGATTTCCCAATCACAGTCTATCTAAACATCATGCAATATAACCACAATAAAAGCCCAGATGGCACCTTGTTTCTAGCAATTGATAGGTTTATACCGAATTGGAGGGGCAATCATGTTAGATGAAAAATTGGAGACCTCATGGATTTATTCCCTTAAGACTTATGTCCCTTTTGGCCTCAGAGATAGCTCTGTCCCTTTGTTATGGATATTTCATTGCCTTCTAATTTGAAGATGCCACACAAATTAATATATTTCAAATTAGCTCTACATTTATTATTTTTATTTATTGGATGACGTAGAGTAGTTATTTTTTTTTTATATGTACTATTTGGATTGGGATCGTCCCAGTTAATTTCACTCTTTGCTGGAGGTTGCTTCCTATTATTGGAGCGCATTCCAATGAGTAGGAGTGTTTTCTTGAAGTCCATCTGTTTTCACTTCCCGTCTCAGGCTTGGTTTCCGGTTATTGGAGTGCATCCTAACGAGGGGGAGTGTCCCTCCGAGCTCTATATATATCCAGAAATGCTTCGCGCAGGTCACGCCCGACATCTTTTGATGATGAAACGCGTAGGATTGAGCCACGCCATGTGACATCATTGTGAGAGAGGCCCTAGAAAAAAGGTAAAATAACCACCCAGTTGGGTGGAACAGGAGGGGAAAAAATCCCATAGAGAGACCATCCTGCAGGCAAACAGAAGAAGAGTAAGGTCCCAAAGAAAGGCATGGCAGGTAGCCATAGATGGCAGTCCTGACCTCACTGACTAGGCGAAGTGAAAATTGTCTGATGTGGCTTCAAGACAGTACGAGAGGAGGGGAATGAAAAGGTGATAAGAAGGGCAAAAGCAAGAATGACTGGCTTTCAGGTTACTTTGTTCTTATGTAGCAGGAGAAGGGGGGGGCTCCCAAGTAGAAAATATGAGGAGCCAAGGCAAATCTATGGCTGCCATGGGCAACAGAGAGAAAAAGGCTCCACTCTTACAAATGACCTTTTAAGGGCGTAATCCTTAGGAGACAAATGGCAGCACATTTTTGCAATAAGTATACACAGGAAGTGCAAGAGCCCAGGCGTTGGTGAAAGGGCATACAAAGTCAAACCAGTACCTTGGGGCTAGGAGTTTGGCAAACCCAAACAGCACAAGTTGCAGGATGAAGAATAGGAATATGTTGTAATATTGAGCTTCCTATCAACACTAAGTGAGAACTAACTCACATGATAGCTTGCAGAGTAATGGGAAAGTGATTAGCATGCCCTAAGAAAAGAAGTACATGCAACCTACAAGGGTTCCTAAAGGGGAAGGAGATGACCACCCCTTGACTGTAAAGCTGCAAGGAGGTGTAGGGAAACTGTCTGCTACTTGAAAAGAAGCAAGCACAGAGAGGCAACAAAAAATAACAGAGGACAGCATTAGAGCCTCTTTTGTGTACCTTTCTGACAGAGAGTGAAGTAAAGGACCAAGATGCCTCTGCCCTAAGCTGAAGCAGTATTTTTAGTAGAGATCCTCCTACCTCTAGGGGTGAGGGCAAACCTTAATTGTGAAGAAGACATCTGAGCAGGTCCAGTGGGTTAAGAGGTGAAGGGTCAGGCATTAAAGGATGGTCTAGAAGTAGATGATGATGCCTGGAAGGATTAACTTCAGAAAATTTTAGTGGTAAAAAAATCTTTCACCAGCCTCTGCTAAAATGTCAGCATCCCCTTTGCCTTTTGAAAATGTAAGTAAATCAGACAATTCAAATTCTAACCCCTGAATATTGTCAGGAGACGACTGTTGGCACCTGCCATTTCCAGCCTTTGGAATAGCTCAGACAGAAAAGTCGGTTTTAGTCAGCCAGGCAGCAACTTGCGTACCTGTGAAGGAGTCCAGTTCTGGGGGCTGGAGCGTTGTCTGTGTAGACTTTCTTCTGGAACATAGAAACAGTGATCAACCTGTGAGGAATTTAGAGTTTCCCCAGGGCTGTAGTTGAATTCTCACCATTTATCCCATATGCTCACACTCCCAAGCACCTGTAATCTGCCACTGCCAAGGGGGGATCATCCCCTACGGGGAATTCACACAGTGGATGCAGACTAAGGGGGTTTAGCATGTCTAGGATGAAGGCATCGCATCAAACCTAGATGCTCACCGAGTTCCTGTGGCTGTCTCTGCGATTGCTGGAAGTGTACAGTTAGGAGTCTTATAAGCACTACATCACTAGCCAGACAGGAACTTCCAGTATTGGGGTGAAAAAAAAAGTCACCAATTTGAAATAAACCCTAGAATAATGTCACCCCTAAAAGGCCAAATAAAATGAGGCAATAACTACTACTGGAAAAATACAAAGAGTGTAGATCATCTCATACCCTGGGCCCAGGGGCGGACTGACCATTTAGAAACCTGGGTACTGCCCGAGGGCCCGGGGTCAGTAGGGGGCCCCATGAGATGCCCCTGGTGCCTTTTTCATAGGCTTTTTTGAGTTTGGGCAAGGACACAGGGGCCCCATGATCCCCTATTGCCCGGGGGCCCCATGAGTTGTCAGCCCGCCCCTGCCTGGGCCTTGAAACCACGTTTGTGTTTAGCACGCTCTCGTAAGAGAAATATTAATGTTCCAAGACATATATAGTCAGTAACTGGTATGTTAACCACTTCGATACCGGACTTCACCCCCTTCCTGCCCAGGCCATTTTTAAGTTTTCAGCACTGTCACACTTTGAATGGCATTTAATCATGCAACACTGTACACAAATTACATTATTTTTTTTTTACAGTTCTTTCTTTTGGTGGCTTTTAATCCCCACTGGGGTTTTTTTTCCTAATATAAATGAGAAATACAGAACATTTTGAAAAAAAAAAATCTATCTATGAATAAAATCTCTTCTCTTCATTTAGTACAAAATGTATTCTGCTAAATTTCTTTGGTAAAACAATCACCCAAAATCAGTGTATATTTTCTAGTCTGTATGAAAGTAATAGAGTCTGCAAACTATGGTACAGTAAATATATTTGAAAATTGGCCAGTCCTGATGTACTGACTGCCTATCATTTCTTGAGACCCTAAAATGCCATGACAGTACAAATGCACCCCAAACAACCCCTCCTTGGCATGTAGACAGTCCAAGGTAGGAGGCACGGATTTTGAGTTTGTAATTTTTTTTCACTTTTTTGGAAAATGAATAAATTAAAGGATAAGTTTACCTTTTGAAACATGTTCCACAGATTGTTAGGGTGGATTGTTAGCATGTTCCAGCAGCTACAGCCTCTCCACTGCTGCCCCCCGAGCAGGTGGGGAATCCTTTTTACACACCCGCTGTCACAATTTGAAAATGGCGTGGACATGGGAGCTCCGCTCACAAGGCCATGTCATTCATTCACATTTTCCAGTGCATAGATGTCTACAAGTATCATCAGCCAATGAGGCTGACAGCTTGCAGTTCTCAATGAGCTGGTGTGCACCTTTGTAGCCATTGATTCTTCCTGCTCTCAAATAACTGTCTGCCTGTACAAGGTATGGGCAGACAGCAATTCAGAGAGTCTGCAGGAGCCTGACATTGTACCCAAAATCTGCTGAATACAGCTCTGCGGTCTCCTTAAAAAAATAAAATAGATAAATGCACATTTTTTACTTACAAAAAAAATGTGAAGTTTTTTTCAAAAGATGAACTTAGTCTTTATTTCACAAAGTTTTCATTTTAATATGCTATGTCTCACACACAGCATAGGCATACTTCTAATTACATTAAAAACACATTTTGCTATGCTTCCTGAGTATGGGGATACCACGTGTGAGACTTTATCACAGCATAGAAGGGCCCAAAATCCAAGGAGCACCTTTGAGCTTTCAAGCAGTATAAACTACTTTTCTAATTTCCTGCCTACCAATCACATATTTGTATGTCCTGGAGCACCAGGACAGTGGAAACACCCACAAAATGACTACATTTTGCAAAGCAAGCACGCCAAGATATTTTCTAAGATGCATGGTGATTCTTTAAATACTTCATTTTTTTTGCCACAAGTTTTTGGAAAATGCAGGATGAACATTAATTTTTAATTTTATTTTTTTTATGCACAAAAGTTGTAATTTAATAAGATATTTCTCATGTACAGCATGGGCATACGCTGAATTAAAATCCAAAGCACATTCTACTACTTCTTTTGAGTATGGGGATACCACATGTGAGACTTATTCACTGTTCAGACTGATTATATACTGTATATTGTATCTTGTGTATTACTCAATTTAACCACCTGTACCAAAACCAATGTACTGTAACAGTTGCCTCTATACGAGTAGTCAGGGAATATAGCTTAGTGTACCGTCACCTACAGCAGTCCCTGTTCACATGAGCCAGGCAAGCCTAGCCTGCTGGTACGTGGCTGCCCGAAGAAATGCCATGTTCACTGGACAAGAAGAAGAGGATGCTAAAGAAAGGATGGCGGGACTGGTGTCTCACAGGAACATAGTCAGTCAGATGTGCAGATTGGTCAGTTCAGGTGCAGGCAGAGACATGGTCAGCAAACAAAGCATTGGTCTGCTGGCATACAATGGTCTGGTGACACTGGTACTTGTTTGGCAGCGGTCATAAAAACTGTTGCTTGTTGCACTTGTCTGGTGGCAACCAGGAACAACACTGGTTTGGTGACACAGTGCCTGGTGTGGTGGTGATCAGAGAACTGTGAATGGTTGCAATATTAGGGGCAGCAAAACCTCGAGGTGAGCAGTGGCTTTAACCACCCTTCAACTGCAACTTTTTTAGCTGCAGAAGCAGCGACTGGGAGTGTACACATGCTGTGGCTGCGGTGCTTTGGTTCGCAGCTGTGGCACAAATTATACCCCCTTTACTCCCACTGACTGAGACCCAATCAAATGAATGGGGTTGCTTGTGTGGGGTCCAAGGGGCTAAAGCAGGCGGTGAGGAAGAAAAACAATGCCTCCTCGCCACCTTTCACATGCTCTATGAAGAGCATACTGAACATGCATGGCTGTTCAGAGAGCATTGCACATGTAAACAAGTCCTTATGTAGACACAGTGACTGGTGTGGCGGCGATTATGGACAATATAACTAATGTGGTGGGGATCAGGGACACTGGCTGGTGCGATGATCAGTGGGTGGTGGTGATTAGGGACTGACTGGTACTAGTGTGTAAAAAAAACAAAAACAAAACTGCGATAGTTTGTTACAGTGATGATCACTGTAAAAGCAATTGCTTTAATTGTCATGAAAGGCTTTGATTCATAATTCATTGTTTGCTATTGTAATTGCAGTGATTGGCCACAGCCATTGCATGGTACAGGGCCACTGTACCATGGAGTAGCTATGGCCAATCACAGAGATCACAATAGTAAACAATGCTATCAGAAATGGATTCTATTCAAGTCAGTTGCTTACTAGTGGACATGTGATCGCTGTAATTGGTCATTAATTCTTTAGTCCTGTACTGTATGATTAATATAAGTATTTACTTATAAATCTACTTTTCTTTAATGAAAATGCAAATTGCCAGATCTAAGTTTGCATTTACATCTAAAACTGTAACAGAGTAGCTTCCCTTATTTAAGTGAAGCAGAAATAAAAATATATCCACAAACAGAAGTCAACACATATTTCCAAATAGCTCTACATTCCCAGTTTTAGCCAACCACAATGACTAGTGAATTTCTCCTGTTCTGCTAACAATTTGTACATGCTAGATGCTTAACATACTTATATACATGCTGCTCATGGAAGTAAAGTACTCACTGAGGATCATGCTCCAACATCACAGAAGCTTTCATTACATCCTTTTTATGAACGGGTCCGATATTAATTCCAGCATACTAGAGGAATAAAAAAGTCAGATGACACATTGCATGTATGTGAAGAAGTGATACAAAAATTGAGAAACCGTGATAAATGTTTACTGTATCCACCTGGCTGTCAGTTTAGCATAAAGTGGGGTTTTAATAATCATTATCAACCCATATTTTAAGCCTCATTCTTTTAGCCCAAAACAGAAGCAAAGAACCATTAAAAGATATAAAAAAAAAAAAAAAAACTTGCATTCCTATGGTCATTTCTCCTGTCCTTCCTATACTTTTGTACTTTAGGCAGGATTATCACCATTTTAAAGAAAACCTGCATGTGACAGATATATAGAGGGCGCCACTTGCTTGGTTTGGAAGGGTGCAGTTTCCAGGACTGTCATCCTGCTATCCTAACTACCTATGGAGTTGTCTGACCTGGAGCAAGTATGTTTGACAACAGTTCAGAAATTGCAGATTTCAGTGTTTGCATGCTTGCTCCAGGTCAGCCACTCACTTGGTTGTTAAGTCAGGATCAGAATGAGAATGGCGTAGATAAAGCAAGCTTCCATATTTCTGCTAGACACTTCCAACTGCACCAAGTCATTTCCCTCCAGTGTCAAAATGCCTGCCGCAGTCCTGCTATAAGTTGCTGATCGCTACCATTACTAGTAAAAAAAAAAAAATTCCTGTATCTATACTGCCATTTGTAATTGCTATAACTTTCACGTAAACCAATTAATTTACAGGTATTGGGATTTTGTTTTAGCAAAGACATGTAGCAGAATGCATTTTGGCCTAAATTTATGACGAAATTTGATTTTATAAATTTTTTTACTGGACATGTTCAATAGCAAAAAGTAAAAAATTTAGTTTTTTTCTCAAAATTGTCAGACTTTTTTTTTTTTTTATAGCGCAAAAGATAAAAAACGCACAGGCGATCAAATACCACCGAAAGAAAACTGTATTTGTGGGAAAAAAAGGACGTAAATTTCATTTGGGTGCAGCGTTGCATGACCGCCCAACTGTCAGTTAAAGTAATGCAGCACCGTAACGCAAAAAATGGCCTGGTCAGGAAGGGGGGGGGGGGGGGGGGGGTAAGTCCTCTGGAGGGCAAGTGGTTAAAAAAACAAACAAAAAACAAATGTAATTAAAATATGGATTTTGGAATTATTTTTGCTGCAAGGCTACTGAAGGACAGAAGAACTATATTACTTAAGGTTACACTGCCACCTACAGGATGGTGGGACACTGGCAAACAGAAAAAGTTGTCAGCCACCCCCCCTATAACCCTTCCCTTAGCTAACATGCCTGAGTTTTATGAGAAAGCAATACACAGATCAATTGACTACATGAAAAAAGATTTTGTAATTACAAAAATCTTAATTTTCTTTATCGTTTACTGAGACACAGGAACTCTATTACAGCCGCAACATCCAAAAGCAGTGCAAACTGAAGGGTGGGCAACAACCACTGATAGGATCAATACATAGAAGATTATCGCTTGTCAGAGGTATCTGAAGGAACAAACACCCGAATCAACAAAAGTAGGGAAATGTCCTCTGCAAGTTAGAGAAACTGCCACTACCAAGGGGAGGACAAAGGATCAACCTGATTTTCGAGAATATGACAGGGAAAGCAGCACCAAGGGGAAACTGGAGAGCTAACCAGCAATCCACTAACAGGTGGAAAAACAGCAGTAAAATAGTTCAACAACTGACAACGTGAACAGGAAACTTAATTGAATGCTAGCAGCTCTATATATACATTATTAACCACTTGCCTACCGGGCACTTATACCCCCTTCTTTACCAGGTCAATTTTTTTAGCTTTCAGCGCTGTTGCACTTTGAATGACAATGCGTGGTCATGCAAGATTGTACCCATATGAAATTTGTATCATTTTTTTCTCACAAATAGAGCTTTCTTTTGGTGGTATTTAATCGCCGCTGGGCACTTTACTTTTTGCGCTATAAACAAAAAAAGTGCAAAAAAAAAAAGTTTCTTTTTTTCTATTATAACATTTTTCAAACAGGTAATTTTTCTCCTTCACTGATGTGCGTTGATGAGGCAGCACTGATGGGCACTGAAAGGCGACATTGATAGGCAGCACTAATGAGGCGGCACTGACTGGCACAACCGCTGGGCACTGACTGGTGGCACTGACTGGCAGCACTGCTGGGCTGCACTGATGGGTGGTACTGGTGGGCACAGGTGGGTGGCACTTCTGGGCACAGATGTGTGGCACTGCTGGATGGCACTGCTGGGCACAGGTGGGTGGCACTGCTGGGTGGCACTGCTGGGTACAGGTGGGTGCACTGCTGGGCACAGGTGGGTGGGCACTGCTGGGCACCAATCATCAGGGCACTGATCATCAGTGCCCTGATGATCGTGCCGATCCCTGCTCTGACAACTGCCAGTTCTCGGCAGTACTTTCCTCGCGCTCTGACAGCGCAAGGAAAGTGCAGCCGAGAACCGGCAATTGTATTTCCCAGTGATCAGCGTGTCATTGGACATGGCTGATCACGTGGTAAAAGGCCGCTGTGATTGGCCTTTTACCACATCACATGATCAGCTGTGTCCGTAGGACACAGCGATCACGGAGATCGCCGGAGGCACGCAGGAGAGCGCGTTCTGGAAGGACGTCATATGATGCCCTCCCAGAACTGGCCGGCCGCAGTGTAGCTGCCATTCGGCTATCTGCGGTTGGCAAGTAGTTAATTAATGGATTTATGCCAGTCAGGTAATAGCGGGCTACTGCCTACTGTCAGCTGAGGTGGCAGAGCCGCTCCAGGCTCTGGAAAGATCCTGACCAGATTGCTGGGATCTAAAGCCTACTATAGTCTATAAAGTACATAAACCACAGGATCCCCAACCAACAACAATGAAATCAATTCACTAAACTCTGATCAGACCATAAAATAACACAGTCATTTAAGTAATAAAAAGGTGTGACACTTACTGGCACTTCTGAGGTCTTTAAGAATTCAAGCAGGGCCTCTAAGGAGCCCAGTGTAGATGCTTGCACATAAACACCCTTTTCTTCCAACTTGATGGCATTTAAAGTCTGTTTCAACTCATGGATGAGCTCATCCTAAAAATAATCATAAATAAAAAATTAAACCAAAATGAGATGGTAGGTAACCCACATTGGTCTACTGTAGATTAAAAAATTACATTTACGACTTACTTTCAGCACCGGAATTTCATCTTCCTTGTGAGCAACCAACAGCGGTAAACCAGCCAATGTTTTCTCCAAGTCCTTACCAAGGATCTTCACTCCCTGAGCTGCCAGCACTTCTTTATGTTTCTCATATTGATTCTAAATGTGGGAAGGGAAAGCTTTTTAGCTATACTCAGCATCTCTGCTTATTTTGCAATACATACAATGTAAAACTGCACGATCCATGAGGAAAATCCTAGGACTGACCAAAGCAAACATCTCAGAAACTTTACCTTTACTCGCAACTCTTTCATTGGAGGAGGCAGAAGAAGACCACGGATTTGTGTTACAATTGGCCCCTCCACACCTGGAACAATAACAGTGTCACCTTCTCTTAGCCGACCATTGATAAGGATGACATCAATGGTTGTCCCCATGCCTGGCAGTGCTTTTACCTAGAGAAAGAGTGAAATAAATTATTCAGTGGGAAAAAGTAATGTGAGGGACAATGGTAAAATGTTATGTGTCTCTTACCTCCATCACTTGGGCTCTCAGCTCTTCTGAATGAGCCAGTCTTTTATTAAGCATGGTCTGTGTGAGCTCCACCAGAAGGCTGATAAGATTCCCCATACCATCTCCAGTATGAGCAGAGGTAGGTACCAGAGACACAAACGTGCGGGGATCTTTATTCTCAAAAAACAATGCTGCATTCAAGCCCTTCAATAAAACACAATGACAACAAGATATGAGGTTATATTTATAACTTAGATACACAGCACCGCCCGCGTATGCAAACATATTACCAAGGCTAGATTATTTTCATAAACTACCTATAGCAGAGAAGCTGTTACCTGTTGTGCAAATTCAACAATGATGGCCTTAGTACGCTCTTCAAACTCATCTTTCGTATTTTTCTTTTGTTTCTTTAATGTGGCAGCAACGTCTGTCTCTGGGCTCTTCTTCCAGTCATATAATCTGTCAATCTGAGGTTATTCAAAGCACAAGTGCAGAGTATTTATAATTTTGTTTTATGTCACTTGGTATATCGGAGCACTTTATATCAGACAGATAGAAATGAAAAAAAAAAAAACAAAACATAAGAACGGACCTTACCTTATTTAAAGCCACGATGAAAGGACACTTCTTATTCTTCAATAAATTTAAAGATTCAATGGTCTGTGGCTCCAGCCCATGCATGATATCCACCACAAGGATGGCAATGTCACACAGTGAGCTTCCACGGTTCCTCAGGTTACTAGGGGTTAAAAATCAGAAAAATATACTCGGCAATGGTCGCTTAATTTTCTTTGCAAGATCAGCAGACATTCACAAATAGCAAAACTATGTTAAACATCTCATCAGGAAGCTAAACAATATTGAAGATCTGACTTTCACTTCATGAACGTTTGACTGCAGGGACCTAAAGTGAACTTGTGCTTTGGTCATGCAAAATGCCTTAACTTTTCCATCACTCTCCCAGGACACTGTTTAGTTCCCCGGAGCAAAGAGACATACACTGGGTACTGTCAGGTATGTGGCGCATGTGACTTGCTCAACTTTCTCCTACAATGTTGTGCTAGATGCCTAAGCATCCAATCACTAGCACTGTCACGTAGCGGTGGGAAGAGAGTGCTTAACCCTTTACAATCTTCAATCAAGGTGACTTAGGAAAGGGAAGCTAGACATAAGCAGTTGCTGGGGTGGGGTGTATGGAACACGACAGAAACCAGATTCCTTTGTTTGTTACAACCCCAATTATAAATCCAAGGGGGCAGCCGTTTAGAAAAACTGCTGCTTTTCCCTATGTGAGCAAAGCAAATGGTTGCTGTAACCACTTTTACATATTGTTGTCACCACCGCAGTACAGCGTCATCGTATGACTGGTGTGGTAGGTATCACTGATGACGACTGTTGACAGTATGTAAAAAAATGTTTACATTTTTTTTCTCCTAACATTTTTTTTCTTCTTTTACATTTTTTTTGAACATACTGATGATGATGATGATGATGATGATCACTGTTATAAGCAATAGTATTAACTGTCATGAATGGCTTTCCATTTCTGACAGCTTACTGTTGTGATTCTGCGATTGGCTACAACTAATCACATGGTACAGGCTGCCAGGGTACCATGTGATAGCTGTGGTCCAATCACAACATTAAGCAAACTTACATAATATTGATTTTTCAAACAATAGTTTTCTTACCTAATACCAGTCATAGCAATCACATTCTACCACGGCTGCTCAAAGCAGCTGGGTACCGAGCACCATGATCCGTTGTGTCCTCCGGAAACAGCAGTAACGGGCTCAATGGCTGGCATCCCAAGGGGTGCACTAGTGCGCCTGCGCTAGGCGACATATGGGTACGTCACCTAGCCTGGCTGTGCCACCCACCCACAGTGGATGTACTGTGAGTGGAAGGCAAGAAGTCAAACCCATCCCAAACAGATAAGTTTCAAATAGATAGTCAGCATCCAAACCATTACAAGAACATACTGAACTACATAGTAAAGATTTTTCTTAAATGACTACTAAAAATATACTAAGAAATACCTGAAAGACTCATGGCCGGGAGTGTCAATGATCAGCATTCCTGGAATCTTCATGTTCTCCCTGTCAAACTGAATTAAATGTCAACAACTATGAGCAGATTGGTAATAACAAACATTCAATAAACACATTTATAAGTAACTTTTCCTCCACTGCCAGCCATCTACAGTCTCTAAATGTTACTAGCCACTTTGAAATTAATCACCCCCCCCTTCCCAAAAAAAAAATACAAATATACACAGATTCACTGCACAGTAAAATCCTGAAATGTTTCCCACTATGTTCCAAAAAGCACAGCTGCACTTCAGCAGCACAGCCTATTGACCAGGAAATGTGCAGGAGTAACATTTCAATTATGTCCACGTGTACTGAAAGGCCAGGAAGAAGACCAAGCACTCTTATTCATAAAGATGTCTAAGACTTAATTTCTTTAAAAGGTTTCCCTCAAATCTAGTCAGCTTCACAGAATAAGAATGCAACTTCTAATAAATCGCATATCTAATTAATGTCTTGTACTGAAGTGATACTTACATTTTTAACCATTTTAGTCTGTTCCTTTAAAGCATCCAGAGGAACATTTGTTGCTCCAATTTGCTGAGTGATCCCACCAGCTTCACTATCTTGTACATGAGTATGGCGCAACTTTTCAAAGAAAAAAAAAAAAAGGTGAGGATAATACAAAACAAAATGACAAACAAAAAAGGTGGAAGGCATTAAAGAGAGGGTCACTTTATTAAATCTGTTAAAGAAACTGTCCTTCTATAGGTTAATTCTTGCCCTTCCAGCCACCACAACCCATTGCATTCAGGAGCAACACCGGCTAAACAATCTGCAGCTTCGGACACTATCGGGAGTGCTGGGTGCCCCCTCTGCACATGGAGGGCTTCAGACCCTTACAATAGACAATATTAATCAAATTCCTACATCACTAAAAGGACACAGCAGGGAAGTGGGAGCCGAGGACAAAAAACCGGACCAGCATTTGACACACCCAAAAGTGTACTGCTAAAGATGTTTCAGCCAGTGGAGCTCCTACAGCCACTTGGTATCAGCACTGCGGGAAGAGAAAGTAACATTTACTAAGAAAGGCCTTTCTTAAGCAGATAAAAAAAACACTACTTTGTCAGGCACCAGCAGAAATCAGTGATGCAACTTGTGTAATCCTAAAACAGGGGCAATACATAAAATACACAATAAGGATAGCTGATATGCAGAAGAATTCGGCATTTCAAGTTAACGATCACTGATGTAGATAATGTAACTATCGGAGTAATACAACTTTGATAATTGACACTGTTTTTGATAAACTGACACATTTATTTATTTATTACAGGTACTTATATAGCGCCGACAATTTACGCAGCACTTTACATATATATTGTACATTCACATCAGTCCCTAACCCTCAAGGGGCGTACAATCTAATGTCCCTAATGTACATTCATACATACACATACTAGGGCCAATTTAGACAGGAGCCAATTCACCTCCCAGCATGTCTTTGGACTGTGGGAGGAAACCGGAGTACCCGGAGGAAACCCACGCAGGCACAGAGAGAACATGCAAACTCCAGGCAGGTGGTGTCGTGGTTGGGATTTGAACCGATGACCCTAGTACTGCCAGGCAGAAGTGCTAACCATTTAGCCACTGTGCTGCCCACATCAATATCTGGTTCAGTGGATGTAGTAGCAATTCTCAGGAAATTCTCAAGGTGCTCATCAGATATTTTGGCTCCAATTGTGCCCTTCATGTGCTTCATCCTTGAAAATAGCTGCTCATAAATATAGGTGCTGCTGAAAACTGATGACATGAATAGGGCAGGATTGTGAAGAGTGGGAAATTTTTCTTTAAAACGGAGTTCCACCCAAAAGGGGAAGTTCCGCTTTTAGATTGGTCCCCTGCTCCCCATTAAGGATTGGCACCTATGTGAGCGGGGGGGGGGGGGGGGGGGGGGGGGGGGGGGGGGGGGGGGACGAGTACCCGCTCCCACTTCCGCTGCGATCGGAAGTTGTCCTTCTAGCCTCCCTCCCCGTAGTCTTGTGGGATACAGGACAGGTCCCAGAAGATGACGGGGCCATTCAGGAAGCGCAGTGCTACTCGTACATGCGCAGTGGGCACCCGGCAGTGAAGCTGCAAGCTGTCACAGCCGGGTGCCCACACCGAAGATGCCAGCGCCTGGAATACAGGACGGCCTGTGAAACGGGCTGCGGCAGGGGGCACCTTGGGATCGTGGGACAGGTGAGTGGCTGTTTTTTTTAAAAGTCAGCAGCTACAGTTTTTGCTGACTTTTATTTTTTTTACAGAGTGAGTGGAACTCCACTTTAAGAAGATAAAACGTAAAAAGTCCAATAAAGAGACACTGTCAAATTTTTCTCCAGCCATGTGTCCTCTAAGCGTAAATGCATTTTTACAAAATAAAACATTTTTAAGTTTACAATTCTGTGTTGGTCTGCATTCGCAGCCGCTGTGGGCCACAGGGTGGACACTTCTGTCTTAAAATATATCTAAACCCAAAATAAACATTTTATAAATTGCGGCTAAGTACAATTTCAGCAAGGGCAGAAAAGTTACCACTGATCTTGCTAGAATTCTAGTGTCCCTGTAATTTCTTTCATGCACTTAAAATATCATAAAACAAAGGTATCTGCTTTCCCAGCTATCTTCTGTGAACCACAAAACAACATGAGGACAAGGAGAGGTATTTGTAGTCCAAATTCAGGAGAGCAGCCTATGTGACAACACTGCTACTGAAGAAGATATTATTACAGCAAGTGTACATTGTCACCCTGGGACAAGAAGTGTGTAACTGGGAAAGTGTGTCAAACCTGAAGAGAAAACTAATGCAGCTACTACACTTAAGTACTGGTAGGCTGCAATGTTTTACATTTTTGGATTTGGGTTAAGATGTACATTAAAGTAGACCTAAAAGGAAAAACTTTTTTTTTTTTTTCCATTTGGGATACAGTAGGAAATGGTTATAACTCCATTTTTTTTGCTAGTGTCCCAATTGGAAGATTTCCACTGTATTCCTGTTCTGATGACAAATCAAAATTTGTGATTTTCTTTTACTTTCATTTCTGGTGTTAGCGATAAACTGAACAAACAGAGAGAGTGAATCTCCCTAACAGGGGTACTGACAGCAATAAAAACCTGACAGGTGTTCTAATCCCTTTCCACTGTATCCAAAACTAAAACAAAAAATTTTTTGCCTTTAGTTATACCTTTAAAGCATGCTAGAAAGGGCAAACATGTCACTTTCACAATGGTTGTAATTCAACACTTAAAACAGAAATGCAGGGATGTGTATACCTTGTCCAGGATTTTGGTCTTCCCAGTATCTACATGGCCAAGTACACATATGACTGGTGAGCGTAGGACTTGAAAATTTACAGTTCTCAGGTTTTCAAGACGTCGTTTCTAAAGGAAAAAATGTGATGCGTCAAAATTCTGAATTACATTTGGTTAACAGCTAACTACTTTTTGACTGGCCAAATGCATGTAAGGGTCTTATAATGAACACCAACCTTTTTTTGAAGTACTCGCTACAGCACTTCGGTAAAGGTATCTGAAACTTGTAAAATCACACCACAAAGAAATTTATGCAGATTACACCAAAATCTGATACATAGTACATACACGCAAAGCTTAGGCAGTTTAGGTTGGTTTACAGTTATATATATGCACATATGGTCAGCCATAACTGCTTACTAAACATACAGCCTATGCATTTACCTTAGTAGGGCAGCACAGTGATTGTGCTTTATTCCTTCATCAAGACTCACCAAGAACTCATGGTGGATTATGTTAAATCATGTGAAAAAAGAAAGTAATATCTTGTATACTGACTAAAATAAAAACACCCTTGTTTTTATTATACCCTAGAACAGGTTCCTAGAATTTGTCACTGAACATGCAAAATATTACGCACATATGCACGCATTATAAAGCATCTGCAGAACAATTACAATGAACGACTTTAGAAACTGCTCCCTGGTCAATATCATACATAAAAGAGTTTGATTTACTAAAGCTTGAGTGCATAATCTGGTGCAGCTATGCATAGAGGCCAAACAGCTATGGTTTTTTTTGTTTTTTTTTTTTTTGGGGGGAATTTGTCCAAGCTAAATTGAGCAAGCTGAAGTTAGAAGCTGACTGGGTGACATGCACAGCTGCACCATAATTTGGTGGCGCCGTAAACAGCATTTCATATTCTTGCTGTACCATGTACTTGTTTTAAAAAAAAAGTGTCCTGTTCTCTTTGTATTGTTTCCTTTGTGTGAAATCCCTGGTGTTCCTGCCAGTCCATCTGCTTTCCTATTGAAAACTGACCACACTAGGCAGGAATGCACTGCATGGTCAGTTTTCTAGCTGAGCTGAGGAATGAACCTGCTCTCCTCCAATGACCAGACTTTTGGTGACACATACCTCCCCCCATCAACACACAGCCATTCACCGGGAAGATTAGTGTAATGCTATTTCTCTTCCCCTAGCTCTCTATGCTCCCTATGCAGCTGAGGACAGAGGGTATGTGATCACTTTTGTAAAATGGGGAAAAAGAGGGATTTACATTTTTTTTATGTGTGTTATAACACACAAATGTGTTGCCTTGACACTAAAATGTTGTTTAAAAAAATTATATTCAAAGTATGTATTCTTAACTCAAAAAATTACCGTTTATTGTTCTCAGCCCCCTCCAAATCCCCACATTTATTTTTCGGTCATGATCTGACTTCCTGTTAGAGGGTGGCTACGTTTTTTCTTCATGGTTCCACTGTATATAGGAACATAGCCATCCTCTCATGCTAGCTCCCAAGATGGTCTGGGGACTATGAATTAGGGGGTTTGTAGCATTCCTGGAGCAATGCACATGACTGCAACTAAAATGCACTGCTTGAAGTGCATAAATAGAAGAAGGAAAAGGAGAGCTCACAGAGGATGTTACATGGAAGCAGAAAAACACAATAAGCAACAATTTCATGAGAAATACAGGGACATTAAGTACTTCATGCGTACAGATTATTTTTGAAGAATAAGAATGTTGTTTAGTGTCACTTTAACCGGTTCCCCACCACCCTAGAGCAGAACTACTGCAGGGCTCTGCAAATTCACGTATATATACACGTAATTTTGCGTTTCCAGGTAGGGGGTGCGCACGCCGCCATTGGCGGCTACAGCTCTCTGTCATCGGGTCCGGGCCAGAGATTCCCCGCCGGCACCCAGCAATCGCCGAGTGAAAGGGAAGAGGTCTGTGTGTAAACAACACAGATCTCTCCCCTATCAGCACCGACATGCTGCTTTGTATTGCTCTGCTATGTATGTTTCCCTAGTAGAATACACACAGCACAACATAGTAAAAAAAGCACACAGTCAACCCTTTGATCGCCTCACGTTACCCACTTCCTGCCCAGTGCCATTAGTACAGTGTCAGTGCTTTTTATTACTACTGATCACTGTATTAGTGCAACTGGGGATGTCAGAATGCCCACCACAGTCTCCCTATAAAGCACCGCCATTAGTAGTATAAAAAAAAATATTTAAATTCCAGTATATATACCACCATTTGTAGACGCTATAGCATTCATGTAAACATGTATTGGGATTTTTTTTTATAGCAAAGACATGTAGCAGAATACATTTTGGCCTAAATGTATCAAAAAATTAGATTTTTTTATTTTTTTTTACTGGATTTGTTTTATAGGAAAAAGTCAAAAATATTGTTTTTTTTCCCCCCAAATTGTCGGTCTTTTTATGTTTATAGCGCAAAAAATAAAAACCGCCGAGGCAATCAAATACCACCGAAAGAAAGCTCTTAAATAAAAAAAGACATAAATTAATTTGGGTGCAGCGTTGCATGACCGCGCAACTGTCAGTTAAAATAACACAGCACCGTATCGCAAAAAATGGTCTGGTCAGGAAGGAGAGGATGGGTAAATCCTCTGGAGAGCAAAAGGTTAGAGTGAACCTGTGAGAACATAAATGTATAATAATAGCTGCCATTGCTTAACTGTTTTCACGTATATGCTGGCACTGCTACCGCTTCTATCTAGTCAGTCACTGACTTACAACAAAACAAGACCACGTATTTTATTCCTATATTTCTATCTTCACAGCTTTACACTAAATATGAAAATAATTCAAAACATGAGCTTGTAAGCTGCAAATTTTCATAGGGAAAGAAAAAGCATTTATTTGGAAAGAAAATATAAGCACCTCAATTCTTCTCTTGGCTTTGTCATACACCCGCTCTTCTTTGGTGCGATCATCGTCAGATTCAGACTCTGAATCTGAACTCTGTTCTTTCCCTGGCTTCTTCTCTGCTGGTTTGGAAGCCACAGGCTGAGACTCTGGTTTTTCATCGGAGGATTTCTCATCCTCACTGCTCTGCCCTTCTTCTTCTTCCTCTTCATCATCTTCGGTTTCTGCCTCATCCTCATCATCTTCATCCTCTTCATCATCCTCTTCCTCTTCATTTGTTTTTTCCTGGACTTCTATGTGGACTTTCTTTGTGTCTGAGGAGCACAACAGACAGAACCATTAGGCCAGATATCTGCACATTCTTTTCAGCGACAACAAGGACCTTGTATAATCTAAGTTGGTGTTATCATTCAGACAGATGTTCCAGTTTGGCAGTGATCTTGGCTACATGAAGGCTCCATGCGTACTGGGCATCATAATAACGCCAGTAGCATTACTTGTGTAAAATCGTGTTAAAAATGTGAGTTTTTCAAGGTTTTTTAGCCTTTTACACAAAAAAAAAAATAAAATTTTTGCTTTAAAAAACACCCAAAAATGCCAGTTTGCAGCATTTTATCCAAGTTTACCAACGTTAGAGCATTTTTACAGCTAAAAAAAAAAAAACCTCTAGAAACCCACTAGTTCTGGGTTTTTTTCCAGCCAAAAAACGCCCCTGTCAAAAAATGCTGATTAAAGCCTATATGTGCATGGACACATAGGATAACATGCTGGGGAGTTTACTGGCTGTAGAAAAAAAACACCAAAAGCCAAAAATAGAAGATGTAAAAATGTCCAGTGTGCACGAGGACTAAAGTGTATGTCCTACACTATTCAAAAATTATTGCTAAACCTCCCTTTATCCTTCTAGAAAATGTACCATCATTAACATTTTTTGTCACCTTGTTTCTTTAGTAAGAGCAACATTTACTAATCCCTTTGATATCCTCAGAAGGCTTGTAAAATTCTTGCAGAGGTCAGTTCCTATTGAAGCAGGTGGTCAGTTCCTATTGAAGTAGGCACACCCCCAGAACTACATCTCCCAAGAGCACTTTCCCAATACGCAGTGCATGGACAGGCTCTTAGAAATCAAGGCAGCATTTCTTAGCTGGGGAAAAAAAAAAAATCGATGTATGCAAGTGCAGTGGGACATAGTGGTGCGGAAGAAATCAGGTTCTGTGGTCTAGCAGGGAGTGTCGATAACTTTGTTTGGAATTTTAGTGCAGAAAAGACATCCTGTAGTCAGTTCAAAACACAGGCGCACATTGGATTTCTGAGGATCAAAATTTCTTTTTTTTGAACATACAGCAATTTTAAAGAGTTAAAACACGAGATAAATGTGCAAATGTTGCAGAGACGTAAGGAATAGTTTTTATTTTCTCCCTGACCTTTTAAAGTTGGGTCCTTAAAAGGTCTGCTGACTCAGTCTTATTCATATTCTGCATATCTAGTCGCTAAATCAGTTTTCCCTTGCACATCATAGACTTCTGAATACTTTTAAGAATGTAAAAAGAATTATTTTCTGATTTTACATATCCAGTGATACAGTAACAAATATTAGCACAAACATCAATTTATGTAGATTGTAGAACATAATGTTAGTGTAGGTAAACTCAAACCTTTCTCGCCTTCTTCGTCACTCACTCTGGCTTCCCAATCATCCACACCAGCTTCCTCCTCTGCCTCTGCTTCTAAGGGTTTTAAAGAGATCAATAAATTGGAAACATAGTATAAAACTGAACTGGGCCTAATCCAAGCAATTGAAGGAAAAAAAGAAAATACATAATAAAAGACAAATACATCTTTTCTACTTTTAACTCACCTGCTGGTATGAAAAGTTAATTAATTAATTAATTATAATATATATATTATATATATATATATATATATATATATATATATATATATATATATATATATATATATATATACACACATACACACACATAAATAGATAGGATGGGGTCTGCCCTGAAATGTCAGACCTCCTAAATCCTTTGGCAGTAAAATATTTTTGCCCGTTTAATATTTTGTTCCACTTACGGACCCTTGTGGTTTATATCTTCCGAAGGTAAATGAGACTAATAGGTAGAGAGACATTTATGGTGGGAGTGCCCAATGATACAAGCCTTCTGGGAGAAAATAGTCCAATTAATTGAGATAATCACTGGGATAAAAATAGGATTGAACCCAGAGGTGTGTCTATTACATAGTACAGATCTACCAGTAAATAGATACAAAGACTCCGTGTATGGCATTACTTGAACGCGGCAAAAGGTCTGATTCCTAGGTTTTGGCATAGACCAGAGACACCGAGGGAGGAGGATTGGGTAGAAAGAACAAATCAGACATGTAAGATGGAGAAATTATATTACACGCAAGAAGACAAGATGGGGCTATTTTTTAAGAAGTGGAGAAAATGGGAAGATTTTGTAGCGAGAGCTACGAAGTAACAATTGAGAAAGAGGAGGAAGAACTTGTATATTCTATTTAGGAAAAGAGTTAATAGAAGTATGCAGAGTGGGTGGGTCTATTAATGGGAAATGGGGATATCTGAGGGGGTGGGTGGGCTTTTAGAGTGGGTTTGGGGAGGTCGAGGGAATAAATCAGGGGTAGAAAAGTAATTAAGGGTTTGGAAAATGTTTTTTGTATATGTAAATGATGAAGAAATGTGTATATTATAGAAAAAAAAAAAATAGGTACAGAGACAACACTTTGTGTAGTTTTGATAAGTTTTTTCTTGTGATTCTTCGTCTATTCATTAATCGGCTGATGACTTGCATTAGGATACTGGTGCATGTAATGGGTTCATCTGCATTGAAAATACTTTAAATGTCTCTGTCCTGTGTGACAGACTTTTTGATGGTATCGCTTTGTCAGACGGTGTTCCATTTTTGTTCTTCCTTTTTTGTTTTGCTTGTTTTTTTGACTGCGTGTTGGTTTTTGAAAAAAATAGTCAAAACTTTGGAAACTTTTTGGTTTTCAAATAAAAAAGTGTCAGACTAAAATAAATAAATAAGAGCATGAACCGACTCAGATGTCTGAATTTGGGTCACAGGAGTGTAGAAATAGGTGTACTCCTGTGATCCAAAAAAAAAAAAGTATGGTCAAAAAAGCTTTGGCCATACTTCTCTTTTTAAGGTACATGAACCTGGGCTGCCATCATCCTTCCTTTAGTAACTGGTGACCTGGGAAGAAGCATGCACATATTTGGTGTTTCCTGGCATCAGGCATAATATATAAAAATATACTTGCTCTGGGTGGCTTAATTCATACACAAGTCCTCAATTATAGACCCCTTGTTTCAATACTGATAGGTTCCATTTAAATGAATAAGTAGCAAGTCCTCAATTGTAGACCCCTTGTTTCAATACTGATAGGTTCCCTTTAAATGAATAAGTAGCAAGTCCTCAATTGTAGACCCCTTGTTTCAATACTGATAGGTTCCCTTTAAATGAATAAGTAGCAAGTCCTCAATAGACCCCTTGTTTCAAGATCCCCTTTTAATGAATAAGTAGCAAGTCCTCAATTGTAGCCCCCTTGTTTCAATACTGATAGGTTCCCTTTTAATGAATAAAGACCCCTTGTTTCAATACTGATAGGTTCCCTTTAAATGAATAAGTAGCAAGTCCTCAATTGTAGCCCCCTTGTTTCAATACTGATAGGTTCCATTTAAATGAATAAGTAGCAAGTCCTCAATTGTAGCCCCTTGTTTCAATACTGATAGGTTCCCTTTTAATGAATAAGTAGCAAGTCCTCAATTGTAGCACCCTTGTTTCAATACGGATAGGTTCCCTTTAAATGAATAAGCAGCAAGTCCTCAATTGTATCCCCCTTATTTCAATACTGATAGGTTCCCTTTAAATGAATAAGTAGCAAGTCCTCAATTGTAGCCCCCTTGTTTCAATACTGATAGGTTCCCTTTAAATGAATAAGTAGCAAGTCCTCAATTGTAGCCCCCTTGAAATACTGATAGTTCCCTTTACATGAATAAGTAGCAAGTCCTCAATTGTAGCCCCCTTGTTTCAATACTGATAGGTTCCCTTTAAATGAATTAGTAAAATATGATTTTTGGTTAAAGTGATTAAAATGCTTTGTTATTTAAAAAAAAAAAAAAATACAAAAACTGGTGTATACTTATCTGCTGTGTGCAATGGTTTTGCACAGAGCAGCCTTGAACCTCCTCTTCTCAGTCCCACAACGGCACTCCTGGCTCATCCCCTCCACCAAGTGCCCCCAAAGAAAGCCACTCCTGAGCCTCGCTGTCTGCGTTTATTGGCACAGACAGAGGGACTCAGCCTGCCCCCAAAGGCTTCTGCTGCCTCAGCAAAGCCAGTGAGACCAGCAAGTGAGGTGAGAGAAGACCTGCAGACGGGTAAAGCGCTGGATCCAATGAGGTAAGTAAAAGGGGGGATGAGAGGGGATACTGATGCCTCAACAATTTTCACCTTACTACAAGGAATGGTAAAAAATGTTTAAGCTTTAATCCATTAACTAAATCTGAAGCATTAGTTTTAATTTTCCTGGATCACTACAATGCTCCGCCAAACACGGTTGGGCCATTTTCTTTTTTTCAACCTAGAAACAGTTTATTATGATAGCACAATGAATTAATGATTTATGAAAGCTGTAAAAAATCACATTCTGGACTGTCCATATAAAAGCCTTTGTGCACAATAAATCTATAATCAAACCAAAGAATAATGCACACAGAATAAAACTGCTGTCTTTCAGGCATGAAAAGAGATGTAGTGTCTGTAAAAAGACCGAGCATTCACTGGCACTTTTACAGTCAATACAAAAATAGTACTAATGAACTAATAAAGAATAGATAACTACTCATAGTGTCATATTATTTCTGTGAAACAAATTTAGATATCAGAGCTGTAAAAATTCAGCAAAAAGTAATATAATCATCCACACAGAAGAAACTGCATTAGCCAATGGCAGTCAAATGTTGAGATTTTTTTTCTTTTTTAGAATGCAGTTTTCAATATTTGCTTATTGTTAGGAAAATACGTTTCTAATTTGTCTAGAAAAACGTGTTAAATGCCTGAAAAAGGACCAACTTATTTCTAATAAGCATATAAAAGTCATATTCTGAAAATATCACATAAAATGACTATATAGCATCAAATGAATCCAAGATGCAAGGCTACATATTAGAACACACTGCAACCCACTCACTAGAGAACAATAAGATATCTAAACTGCAGCCAAAGGCTAAGAACTCATACGCTAATGCAAGCAAAGCTTACAGCAAACCTCTTCAAAATCTTAGCAAAAACACGGCCATGCAATAACCTGCAACTAAGTACCTTCTTTATCTGTGTCACTATCCTGATTTATGTCAGCCGCACAAAATGTCTCTGTAAAGTCTGTGAAGAATATTTCAGATGTAGCCAGAAATAACATTGCATTACACTTTACTTGCACACAAAACACATTTTACATACGTATAGAACTCATTAAAAAAAAAAAACACAACATCTCTACAAGGTACAAGCTGTGTGTGTGCAATGATCCATCCAGATGAAATTGCAGTGATCACTGGAGGTCCAATTATCAAGATACATTTTTTGGTTAGTCACATTTTTTCAGTATTTGCCCATTGGTAGCAGTTAGAAGATAACTATTAGCAGAAGACAAATGGTAACTTCAAATTTGTTTTTCCTACAATTATAACACAGCTTGAGCTTTGTGACAATGTAAACAACAAATCAGTCATGAAACAAAACACCTAAGTGCAGGCACATAGAAAAGCCTGCTTAAACCTCATACCTCAACGCACTCCAAAAAAAAAAAAATGCTTTTACAGCGGAATCCCAGGCTATTCTGGCAAAGCTTGACTTCTCCTTCTGAGCCTCCTGTACATTCTTTTTTGGCCAGTGGGGTGCTCACAGGAATGTAGGAAGGAGGTTTGCCAGAAAACTTCAACTGCTGGAGATACAGCTGTAAAAAGCCAGGTACTAAATGTATGAGAGGATACTTCTAGGTGTATGCACTTAATACCTGCAAAAATGTTTATTTTACATTTATTTTGTTTCTTTAAGGAATGGCTAAGGACTGTAAATCAACACATTATTAAAGTGTTACTAAACCCACAACAGTAAAATCAGTCTGTATATGCAGTAAAGCATGCTTGTTATACTCATTGTGGAACCTAAGGGGTTAACCCTCTGCACTGTGTAAAAAGTCTGTTTGATCCTGTCTTCTCTGCCCATCGTCTTGTTGAAATGTCCACCTGATACAGACTGAATCTGTAGTGACATGCACATGCTCAGTTTGGTGTGTATTGCTTGAGTTTTTTCTATTTTTTTTTCTTGGGAGGGTGCATGTGATCAGCACAGGGCCAATCAGCACTGTCCAGAGGGTCAGGGGTTTCACATCCTCCTAGAGCAGAAATAAATCTCCTCCTACAAGCTTTAACCTGTGCTCTGCTGAAGTCACAAGACTGTTCTAACTGCTGATGAGAAAAGGTATTTAGCAGTTTATATTTACTAAAATAATTGCATTTCCATGTTCTATGTACTGTGGGAGACCAGGTATAGTGAATGCAGGGTCCTGGGTTTAGTAACGCTTTAAGTTACAGTGCGAAACAGGTTCACAGGGCATTGGTGGCAGATACACATGGTTGAAGCTGGAGGGACCAAACAAAAACTGTTGCTACACCACAGCTACCCATGTTCATCACAAGCTGTTCTACACTAATGAAAAATGAAAATTTCAAATGTCCCAGGAAGGATAGCTGAAGCTTCTGGATCACATCTGGCACCAAACTGCAAGCAAACTAAAGAACTCTATGGCTGAAATGTTTTGCAGTGCTTTTCACTTATTACACACCTATGGTAAATTAATCACTAGCAGGCTATGGTAGATACTTTTATGGATCTCTCCTCCCAGACAAAATGCTTACCAACAGGCTCTGCTGGCAACAGTATTTCCTCTTTCTCTGGCACTGGAGATTCGGGAATTTCTTCAACTGGAGAGCTCACCTCCATTGGCTCTGAATGAAATAAGGACAGTTTAACATTTACATTTCATTCTTACTCCTAATTCAAAAGGAACTGCACTACTGAAGTGAAAACAATTCACATTTAAATACATCGGAGTAGCGTTGGACCTAAAAAGCCAATCCGTCCTTTGCTCTATGGATAAATAATACTCTATCTTGCCCATTTCAATTGCACAGAGGAACCAGACAGCGATGCCCCTTATTTCCACTCCTCTTCACTTTAGCAATAGAGCCCTTGGCTATTGCAATAAGGCAAACATCAGACATAGTGGGGCTCAGGAGGGGTGGGAGAGAAGACAAAGTGGCATTGTACATTGATGATGCCCTTTTATTTTTTAGTGATAGACAACAGTCACTGATAACGTTGATGCAATTACATTTTGCTCCTTCTCAGGCTTCCATATGACATGCAACAAGTTGGTCCTGTTGCCCCTTGATCCGCTTTAGAACCCTTTGCTGGCTGAGGCTCATCAAATCTGTATAGTGACCACTTTCAAATATATCGGTGTGATTGTATCCACGGGTGCACACAATTACATAGCTCTCAAAGTGAAACCATAGGCAAACTGTTTTGTTTTCATTTTGCATAGAATAAGGGAGGGCTATGACCCGTCATTTATTTTCACCATCTGTGTCCCATTGGAGATTACCCTTCACCTCCTGTCCTATAGCCAAACAGGAAGTAGGAGGAAATCCCTGAAAATTACGGTAATCCCTTGGGAACCCCCAGGTCGCCAGAACTAGTGTCCCGTTGGAAGATTTCCATTCTATTACTTTTCTGGGGACAACCCAAAATGTGGGATTTTCTTTTACTTTCACTTTCAATGATAATGGTAAACAGGACAAATAGAGAGGGTGAATCTCCCTAACAGGAGCCCAGACAGCAATAAAACCTGAAAAAGGGTTCTAATCCATTTCTACTCTATCCAAAACATAAAAAAAAAAAAGTTTGCCTTTAGTTATACTTTAATTTGAAACCCCCTCCTAGGTTTAAGGACAAATGTTCCACTTGGAGTAAACCACCATTAATGTTGATAGGGAGAGACAAATACTATTTGTGTCTATTTATATGTACTAATACTGTACTACTTGTCTCTCTCTCTCTCACTTTGCATCATGTTCTACATTGTGGAATTTGTCTGAGATGCATCCAAGGTCAACAGAAATCCATATTCAAAATTACACAACTGACTCTTCTATAACATGAGATTTGGACAACATTTTACAGGAACCAGTGAGTATAAGGCAACAACGATTGCCGCATAACCAGAGAGGTCATAACATTTTTATGTGTAAGGTGCAGAAGGTGAGCCAGTATGTTCTGACACACTATAGGCGCCTTCAGTCTATATATACACTAACATTGCAATGGAACAAATAAGGATTACCTTCTTTATTAAGTGTCTGCTGCTGTGGCTTCTTTTTCTTTTTGTCTTCATAAACAGGTTTCTTCCTTGGCAGAGAGTCCTTTGATGGCACTTCCACTCCTGTTAAAACAAAGCAAGTGTAAAAGGAGCACAGGACCTCATTTGATACAGAATCCTGGTCAATAGAAACAGGAAGAAAGAATAGATTTTGAACAGTGAACAGGAGATACACATATTTAACATAATGCTACAGGGGAATGGGGAAATTAAAAAAAAAAAAAAGCCTTTGGACAGGACAGAGTAGGGAAAGGTCAGATGGTTGGTCTCTGTGTCCTTAAAGAAAGGATTTAAATTCACTTGCAATCTTGGCGACTACACAGGAAGTTAAGGGAAATCTTCCCTTTAGAAACAAAAATAAATAAAAAGCCAACAGGCTTTAATCCTTCCCTACTCTATCCAAATCTATAAAGAAAAAAATGTTTTGGCAGAATTCCACTTATACACACCTTGTGCCTGAAGGAAAGTTAGAGTAGCCATGGCACGAGCCCGAGCATCTTTCTGTGATTTTGTCAACAACTTCCCTTCTTTTTTTAAACGCTCTTTTCTTTCTTTCTCTTTTTGCTTCTTCTTTTCTTTCCTTTCTAGCTCCAGTCGTTCCTGACAGACAGAAATTGCAAGGAATCATCAAACTGTATTTCTCACAGTATAGCAGTGCTTAGTGTAGCAATGCGTAGCATCAAGATTTTGACCTTCATCAGTTTAGAGCAGACAAAACAGTGCTGACATTATGAGTTACTGCACTTTGCACTACCAAGCAAGCTTGAAATTTCCATCTGCGATATGCATTTTTAAACATTTTTTCTTTAGCAGTTAACCTCTAACAGGTGGATGATCGCACATTATTGTTGGGAAACTCCAAAACTTTTATTGAGACAATATCCACAAATAAAACATCACAGCACCAAACCTCAAGGAGATACATTGGTGCATTTCAGGCTAAAAAGTGCTTACTCCTAACATGGTTGTTATGAGTAAGTGCTTTTCAGCGTGAAACATGTCAACATATCTCCTTGAGGTTTAGTGTTGTGATGTTTTATTTGTGGATATTGTCTCAATAAAAGTTTTGGCATTTCCCTACAATAGTGTGCAGCCATCCATCTGTTTGTTTGAACTTTTCCAGGTTGTGAGCTAGGCTGGCACCTCTATGTAGATAACCTGAGAGCAGATAGCGGGTGGACTGACCTGGAGCGGTGCTTTAATTATGTTGGACAACTTCCACTTACAGTTTAATGACAGCCTATTTCCTCCAGTGTAACGCATATTTGTGGCAGCAAAGCAAGTGGGACTTAATGCCGTACATATAGTATATGCATCCATGGGGCTCAGCTGTTGTGTTCTGAAAGCATGCCAACAACCACTGACTGACCTGTCACCATTTATGAATGGGAGCCCACGGGATGGCAGACCACAGTGCTCACATGATCAAGAATTCCACCACTCAACTTACCTGAATAGCGGGGTTCTTCTCCACACAGTGTTCTGGGGGGAAAAGATATCAATTCGCTAAGGACTGACATAGCTGCCATTGACTGGCTGAAACTATGAAGCAAGTGCAGGTAAAGGAGGCTGAGCTAAAATCTGAGGCCTGACTACAATTAGCTAGGGATGATCATGAACTTAAAAATATAATGTTAATTGGATATGTAAGCTGCTGTTTTGGGGGTGCGAGGAGATGTTATGGTGTGCTTTTCTCCAAACCCAAAGCACCCCCTGCTGCCAGTTTATTCAGTGTCCAAACTGTGTACAGCCACATTCTGTCCAAAAGAATCCTGTGTGCTTCCATGTAAAGGCCCAGCAGCATATTCGGAAACTTACTAAACCATAATAATTATATAACGTGGCTGCAAATTTTATTTTAAGGACATAAATTATTCAACATATAACTAAAAAAGGCTGTTATTCTGGCTTCCCTTCTGATGCTATTACTAGCATTTTGCTAAGTGCTCTCTTTCCAGAGCATTCACAACTCGTTGGTTTTTGGTTTCTGTACATACAAAGCCCACTGCTTTCTGTTGAATGTGCCGGCAACCAATAGGTGGCAGAATGGTTTGACTATGTTTTTATCATCTTAAAGTGGTAGTAAACTCTTCTTTAATAACTGTACCTGCAGGTAAGCGTATAATAAAGCTTACCAGTAGGTAAAATTATTATCTCCTAAATGTGCACCATTTAGGAGATATTAGCACTTTTTGATAGCAGACGCATGCACTCTGAAGGAACAGAATACCCATGCCGTTCCTTCAGAGTACTGTGCCATGGCCCAGGACGTCCGTATGCATGCGCAGGAGTGACGTCATCATGGCTCAGCCAGTCAGCCGGCTAGATCTTGCAACCCTGGAAGGAAAACCGGGTGAAGATGGTAGCCACCGGAGCCGTGACAGCACTCCACTGAAGGGATTTGTTTCAAGGTAAGTCCTTGATAATGTGCAAGTATGCAATGCATCCTAGATCATTATGCTTTTACCTTGCAGGGTTTTTTTTTGTTATATGTGGTAGATTTCAATTATTAAAATCTTTTTTCTTTCTAGCAAAAAATTTTTTGTAGCAAAATAAGCCAGTCTGCTATATGTTCGGAATGACATTTTGAGTACCTCTTCAAGACGCTTGGCTTCCAGCTCTTCTAGTCTTCTAATTCTCTCCACCTCTTCTCTCTTAAGCCTCTCCTCCTCTTCCTTCAGTTTAGCCAGAGCTTCCTGCATGACCTTCACAGTGGCTAAACTAGGACCCTTTTTTTTCTTGTCTTTCGGTTTCTCTTCCTTCTCACCCTTTTTCTTCTTTTTGTCTTTTTTCTTTTTATCACCATCATCATCTGAAAAACATACAACAAATGCATTGCTTCTTTTGTACTTAACCTTATCTGGAAAACAACAGAAAGGAAAAAATGTTGCAATATATATCCAATACAAGGCATGCAAACCACCTTTACCTTCATCCATGTCAGCCGCTGCTGCAGCCTCTACTTCCACTGCTGCTTTTTTGTCCTTTTGGGGAGCTGCCACATCATCTGGCTTTTTGTCAGGAACCTCAGCCTTCACAGGTTCTTTCTTAACAATATCAGTTTCATCTTTCTCCTTTTGTTTCCTCAGCTTGGCCTTTTCCTCCTCTTTCTTCTTGCGCTCACGTTCCTTCTTTTCAGCCTTTTTTTGAGCTGCTGTCTTTATTTTGAACTCCCCTTCTTCCTCCTCGCTTTCTACTTTAGAGACAGGCTTGGGCTTCTGTTCTTTCTTTTTGCCTTTCTTACCCTGACTGAACTCATCTGAATCTTCATCACTATCCTCAGGGATGTCTGTTTTCTCATTACCGCGTTCCTTAGCTTCTTCCGCAATGTGGCCTTTTCGATTAGTGGCCTCGCTTTTGCCCTTTCCTTTCTTAGATGTCTTATTAAAGCTGTCATCGTCATTATCATCATCACTATCTGACAGATTTTTGTTTTTTTCTGGTCTTTTGGGCTTTGTATGTTTGCTTTCCATTTCATCACTATTTTCATCATCATCGTCCTCAACACTGGGTCTCTTAGCTTTCTGGCCTCCTTTCTTTTTCTTTTCCTTTGTGGGAAAAGCTTCAAAATCCTCAGTTTCTGCCTTCTAGAAAAACAAACCAAAATTTTTAGTACTGCATGTGTCAAAAATATCTTAATTAACTGTTGATAAAATTAAAAAGTTGATAAGAGCTCCCTGCAGAGAATGAAAGTTATTTTGTGTTGTCTGTGCCTCTGTACACTGTTGCAGTTCAATAATTTGCCGTGTTGTGAGTTACAGTATAAAAGGGTTATGACAGCATATGCAGTTTCGGTGAAAAAGTCATCAGATAAGCATAAGTGGTTGACATAGTCAACTGACCGAAAGAGACAAAAGAACATTGCGCAGCATTTTGTCCCAGAATAAGAAAACAACTGCTGCAAAAGTGACTGCAGAGCTCAATCTCATTCATTATGGGACAGAGATTGAGCTCTTCAGTCACTTTTGCAGCACTTGTTTTCTTACACCGGGTCACAATCGAGCGCAAACAACTGCTGCAAAAGTGACTGTAGAGCCTTTGATACTGTACCTCTCAACACAGCAAATTGGCAACTTCAGTCACAGCGACACCAGCTATATGGGAACCAACAATTTGCCCTCTCTGAAGTTCAGTAAGCCCTGACAGGAGTCCGTATTACCAGCAGCAGACATAGTGAATGACGAAAGTGAGGCTTCCCACCTGTTAGCTAGGTGTCTTATCACACAGCGGAAGCGGAAGTGTCTCACTTTCACACTTTCACATCTGTAAATCATGTAGTGTTTGTATTTTTTTTGTATAACCCTGTATTACAGATTATCTGTGATACAACTGTTGAAGCAGGTCAAACCTAATAATCGTAGGTCTCACCTAATAATCGTGTGGTCTCAACTTACAGTGAGGAGGGGGATGTAGGCGGGAGCACCATAATGCAATTTCAATTAGAGTATAAAGATTGAATCTTTAAAAAATGAACACACATGCATTCCTTTACCCTAAGAGCCTAGTGAGAACAGAGAAAGGAAATTTCTGTCCTCATTATAAATTCACTTTCACACCTATCTTCTTTAAAAACCTTAGTTAGACTTACCAGTTTCAGTATTTCTAGGAGCCTTTCAGGACAGTACCTGGGTGCAGCTCCACCCATAATCACGGAAACCCAGCAATTTAAAGTCCACCTCTTCCACCATGCCCTCAGTTATAGCAGAGTAACCTCTGACATGTTGGAAAGCAGAAACAAAAAAACAAACACCATGCCAACCACAGAATTACAGACATAAAAGTCACCAAGGAATAAAAAGGGGGGTTAGATGCTGCTGTCCTGAAAGGCTCCTAGAAATACCGGTAAGTCTAATTAAGGTTTTCTCCCTTGCTTTTCAGGACAGCACCTGGAGAAGATAACCGAGTAACTTACCCCAAGGGTGGGACCACTGCTTGCAGGACCTTCCTGCCAATAGACTGGTCTGCCGAGGCCAACAAATCCACTCTATAATGGCGTATAAATGTGGAAAAACTGGACCACATAGCTGCTTTGCAAACCTGCTCCGGAGATGCACCAGCCCTTTCAGCCCAAGAGGCCGCCACTGATCTTGTAGAGTGTGCAGCAATCCCTTCCGTACGGACTTTGTCTAATGCCCTGTAGGCTTCTTTGATGGCCTGTCTGAGCCATCTGCCCTGAGTACTCTGTGAGGCCCTCTCCCCTTTGCGGTTACCCATAAAGAGTATGAATTATGGTGTTTGACTTTCTAAACTCCTTCGATACTGGCCTGGTCCTGGCCAGAGCTTTAAAAAAAAATCTAATAATTAGCACCTCCTGGGATTACCTTCTCTCCAGGAATGCAGATAAAGCTGCAACTTGAGATTTAAGGGTGCTTGCAGCTAGTCTCTTCTCCATTCCCTCATGGAGAAATTCCAGGACTGACAGGACTCTGTTCACCTGGAAACTCTTCTCTGAGCATTTTTAACTGCAAAAATGTATAATCCACTTTGTTCTATGATCTTCACTTTTATTATTATCATTACTATTGTTTTTATTTATATATATTTGCAAATTTATTTATCTCACCTTTCCTGCCGTTGTGGCCATCTTCTTAATGCAAAAGCTTTTTATACATGCTTCATCTGTGAGCATGTTTTTGTCTTTTATACCTTTGAATAAACCTTGGATAATGCACTAGGTGTGTGCGCCACCTATTAATTCTTTATTCAATTCCCTCCAGTTTGAGGACTTCCTGGCCTCCGCTTTGGACCACGGGTACTGTACCGACTGATCTCTGGAGTGGGCTCTCCACCCCCACGCACTCGCATTTGTTGTTTCGGCGTTCGAAAATGACCATGGTAGACCCCTCCCTAAGGTGGTCGGATCCCGCCACCACCAAAGCGCCCTCTTCACCCTTGGAGCAATCCTTATAGGCATGTCCAGTGGATCTTGTTATGTCCACTTCCGCAGTATGAAAATAGAGTAAGAAAGAGGGGAGAGAGAGAGAGAGAGGGGGGGAGAGAGAGAGGAGAGAGAGGGGGGGGGGGGGAAGTAAGGAGTGAAGGAGAGAAAGGAAGTAAGGAGAGAAAGAAAGGGAGACAGAGAGAGAGAGAGAGAGAGAGAGAGAGTGAGAGAGGGAGTTTGAGAGAGACAGAGAGAGAGAGAGGAGGGCGGAAATGGAATCTGGCCCACTGAACTTTTGGGATGGCGCCGGTAAGCAGTCCCAGAACCGACATGGCCATTTGGACCGATACCAACAGGTTGCACTGAACCTGCCTCAGGGCAGACTGGATTCTTTCTATTTTCCCCTCCGAAAGGAAAATCCTCTGTTGTATGGAATATATGTTATATCCCAAGATCCTTACCCTCTGGGCCGGAACCAAGTTGGAATTTTCCATATTTAACAGCCATCCCAAGCTTCTAAGATGGGCCTGAGTCGTCTGAAGATCTAACAGCACCTGCGTCCTAGTTTCTGCAAATACGAGTAGGTTGTTTAAATATGGCACCACCGAAATCGGCGGCTTGAGATTGGTCAGGTAAGAGTCCCATGCTTTTTTTTTTTTTAAAGGAGCAAGTCTGCCCTTTTATCCATTGCATCCTTCAGGATGCCCATATCCTCAAAAGCCAAGTCAGTGCATCTTGAAACTTGCGAAAAGGCCACATCCAACCTCGTATTCCATACAAGCGACTCTTCTTCCTTGAAGGGAAACCTTCTTCTTGGAAAAGAAAGGGCCCCTTTCTGGATTCTTTCATTCCTTCTTTACAGAGTCTAATAATACCTGATGGACCGGAAAAACTCTATGTTTAGCTTGTCCTAGGCCCTGATGCATTTTACCGTGAACTGACAGCTGGACATTCTCCTCCTGAATTTCCAGCGTCATATATATTGCTTTCAGCAGGTCATCCACCTCTTCCAATGATAGTTTATATCTGGACGAGCTTGCAACCTGCTCCTCCTTGTCCTCTTCCTCCGAATCTCTGAGGGATGGAAGAACGCTCTCTCTCTCCTCATCTGAGTCACTGATTTCTCGCCTGAAACGGACAGAGGCGTACTGGACAAGGTGATCTGATGCAAAGCCAGGTGAAGCATGGGCAGTTTATCTAACAAGGATCAGACCGATCCCAAAGTCTCCGACAATTCCTTTTTAACAGAAGCAAACATGTCACTGCATTGCTGCGAAGACTCCTCTTTTACTAAATCCGCCATACATGCTTTACAAAGCGTTTTAACCATGAATCTCTCAGGGGATTCCTTCAAGACAGACAACCTTTTAATCGGCGTGACCCCCTTCGTTTTGACCATGGCCTTGACCTGAAAATATAGGAAAGGAGCAGGGCAACAGAAAAAAAGGCTCCCGTCCAGCCGAACCCACATCTCCCCTCCCTCCTTAACCGCTGTAACCGAAGGTGCGAGAGAGAGAGCGCGAGAGGGAGGGACAGAATGAAAGAGAGTGAGAGAGGGGAGACTTAGCCCATAAAACCCCAAGTCATCCCCCTGAGCAGTGGAGCAGAGTGGAGTCATCTCTGTGCCACAGCAGCAGGCTTCCGTACCAGGGAAGGCAAATCCAAATACATACAGAAAAAAAAACAAAGAGCCCCACTGTAAGGATAGAAGGCACCACTCTACCCCCCTTACCTGGGCTAGGCTGGTGCATGATGCCCCTGCTTCCGCCGCTGCTGCTGGACCCTCTGCCTCCTCCATTTTGCAGCTTGCTGAGACCTGTGGTCCTTGAAGTTCCTGCTGGCCTCTAGAACGCTGGTGACCCGGAACCGAAAGCACCTGCCGACTTCTCCCCATGGTTTCCAGTGGCTAGAGCCAATGCCGCACGCCCCCACCGGACGTTCCGCCCACTAGCATGGTGTTCCCCTGCTGGCTAGACTGCTAGGGCCTCCGGAAGCCACCTGAAGGCTTCCCATGGTCCAGACCCTGGGAGACCTGCTCCCTCCAGGTGCATTGACACGGCAGGACTCCCAGGCTTGCCATCGCTCCACTGAGCAGGAAGGGGAGAGAAGGCGCCGGAACCCCCCCCCCCCCCCAAACCTCCGGAGGAAAGAGCTGGGCTGGTCATCATAATCCGCGAGCAAAGTAAATGCTGACACACACCCCCACTGGAGAGAGCGCAGCTCCCCAAAAAAAATACAAGCTCTTGCAGCGCTTCCACTCATGGCAGAGGAAACACCATAACTGAGGGCACGGTGGAAGAGGCGGACTTTAAATTGCGGTGTTTTCTCCCAGGCTGGCCATCGCTCCACTGAGCAGGAAGGGGAGAGAAGGCGCCGGAACCCCCCCCCCCAAACCTCCGGAGGAAAGAGCTGGGCTGGTCATCATAATCCGCGAGCAAAGTAAATGCTGACACACACCCCCACTGGAGAGAGCGCAGCTCCCCAAAAAAAATACAAGCTCTTGCAGCGCTTCCACTCATGGCAGAGGAAACACCATAACTGAGGGCACGGTGGAAGAGGCGGACTTTAAATTGCGGTGTTTTCTGTGATTATGGGAGGAGCTGCGCTCCCTCTCCAGGTGCTGTCCTGAAAGGCGAAGGGAGAAATATACAGTATTTAATATGCATCATTTTTCCCATGCTCTACAGTATCTTTACA